CTAACCACTTGTGCGAATTCCTGTGGCACCGGGAACAAAAAAAGTTCCGAAGAGATCCATTTCTGTCTCTGTGCAAAACGATATCTGAAGTGACACACAACAATCCCACTTAAGACAACATGTGATAGACATCTACTTATTTTGTAATTGAAATTATGTCTCAAGTAAATTCATAAGTTACCTTAAACATAAGATTTTTTTCCACTGTTTTCTGACAAGAAAGAAGTGTCATTTTTTGTTATTTGGAATACGTTTAATTTTATAAATTTGTTATATTAAAATTGAATCATGGTGCAAATAATTGTTTTACATCCCCAAATCATAAACTCCTCAACCTGTACGAAATTATGAATATTTCTCAAATTAACCGCCCCAAAAACATACAAATGAAAACGAAACCAACTCCTAAAAGGTACCTGAAATGATGAATTTTTCAAATTAACCGCCCCAAAAACATACAAACGAAAACGACACCAACTCCTACAAGGTACCTTTCATAGCCTTTCCATGCAGTCCGAGTACCGAACTCCTATGGAGTACCGTTCATGGACTTTCCATGCAGCCCGAGTACCGAACTTCACCCTGTAAAGCAAGCTTCCATGATCTTCAGGGTATTTGTCTTGGTCTCTGACGTAGTCGAACTCCCATGCAATTTATCATACCAATAATGCCAGAAATCTTGGCAGATATTGAATATTCAGCCAAGAACAGGAGCATTGCCCCTGTGCATGAGCCCATAGAATCATACTGAACAATAGATTGGCAAAATCATAGAGAGGAAAGCAGAATACTGTTTGGATTGTAAACTTGCATTCGGTACACTTATCAATTTTTGTATCGAATACGAGGTCTTTTTCCAGACAGTATTCCACCCTCATTTCTCTGAATATTGCTAATTTTTTAGTTTAGAGTGATTCTTAAGGCTCATGTACAGGGGCTATTGTCCTTTAGGTATTTGGCTAAAAATTCAATATTTGTCAAGATATTTTTGGCATGATTGACGCGATGTGCTGCATGCTAGTTTGACCATGTCAGAAACCTTGACTAATCACCTTATGAGGAATTTTCTGAATGCCCATCATCTCAACGATACTCATTCTGGAGACTTTGTTATTTAGAGTAAATAAATAATTATCTCATAGTTTCTGAAGGTTCTAGCAGCACTAAGCACAGACTGTGGGGTAGATTTGTTATCAGAGGAATGCAGTAAGTCAGCCAGACATTAGTTTACAAACATATATGCATTCGCATTTAAACATAGTTAATTGACTTTTGAATTCAGTCTCTTAGATTTCAGCTGACAAAATTCAACTTTTATCATTTGTTTCCAGCGAGTTTGTCTTGGCTATGCAATCATCAACAGACTGTGTGAACGATTAAGAGTCCAACCAAAAATAAATGAATAATGCAAGCGGGAGAGCTTGGGTGTGGTAGAGCAAAATAATATTAGAGGTGAAGTTTTTTGATCCTTTGCATCAAAAGTCGAGAACAGGTTGCAAAAAATTATAGAGATGAAAAATCACCAATTTCAAGAGGGAGAAACACGGGGAGTCGAAGGTGGTAGATGACTCAGGGAAAGAGGAATATGAATCAGTTGGTCAAAAGATGGAAGAAAACCATGGTTCAAAAGGTTTAATTCTCAGCTTTTTTATATGTAAGCTTGCGTCAGACGTCTGGAGAGTAATCACTTGATTCTCATTGGTTGATGACCCCTCAGTTGTCTCTAATCTTGTCAATCAAGTCATCCTAATCAGAGTGATAATTAGTAAGATGAAGGGGTGAACGAATTGAAAAGGAGACTTTTGAACTGAATTGGATTCAAAACTGACTGAAGAAAGAAAGATTTTATACAAAATAAACAATTTAATATTAGTGCTAGAAAAAGTAGGGAAAGTTTTATTTTTTTTATTTTTATTTTTTATGAATTTTTTTTTAATTCTTTATTTCCATAAGACACAATGTACAACAGAAATTCACTCTCCAAAGAAATGGCATTGTACAAGTAAAGACCTAACTTACAATTTAAAGAAGCTGTAGACAAGTAGAGACACTAACATAGGATAAAAACCACAATAGGGACAAGAACGATAGATAGAATAGGGAAAGTGTTGACAGGCGGCTATTTGTTAAGAGGAATTTTTTCTTCTTTTCTTTAAGTACTATTTAAGTAATTTCCTTTCTATCTATCAGTTTGTCCAATGAGAAAATTTGTATAGCTTTTTCCTTTCAAACTTCAGATCCTTGCACTACGACTGCTCCTAACTACTGCTCACAAACTGCTGAAATTCTGGTAGCTGTATGAACTCTGGCTGAGATAATAAAATCATGAAATACTCAGAGCTGAAGGTCTCAGGCCAACCGCAAAAAGAAGGGAATCCAGCATCATCAGTTCTAGGTAAATATATTCTTGAGAATTACAGCGATAGTTGTATTAAAAAGTGCAATGAACGATTTCTATTTTGAAAATATATCTCTGATTTGTAGTAAACTTATTCCATTTGGCTAAAATTGGAATTCTCCAGTTCCAATTTGTTGAAAGTGTATTTAATGCATTAAAAAAATATAAACAAACTTTACATTGAAGTGAGCTAAGTTTAAGAACATGCATTTACCACTACTCACATTGTAGCTTTACTTTGAGGTAATTTCACCAAAACAGGAAAAGTTGCACCGTTGGTGGTTATGAGCAACTTGCAGCAAAATAATTAAAAAACCTAAGATACTCATGCTATTTTCTTCATGCCTTCAAACGCAGGACGGTAAAGTTGGGTCAATTTCACCATTCTACTTACTCATATATTCTCAACTGGGTTACACCGTTGAACTCCCATTCTATAACTTGAGACTGTTTTATGAACCAAAATCAATCAATTAATTGCCCAAATTTGCATTTAGTCTTGATATTCTTTCTGAATGAGAAATAAACTGTGTCTGATTTACAGAATGATCTAACTTTTACAGATCATGAGGTTTTGAAGTACTCTTTCGTGTCTCCTTTTGGTGTGAAACAGAGGCTGAGAGAACTACGTCTCATCTCCAGTCACATAAAAAATGAATTACCATGGTTGATCCTTGCGCTAGAGTGCCTAGATTTTACAACTTTAGCAGGAGATGACACTCCTGTCAATGTCAGGAACCTGTGCCGCAAAGTGAGTAAAATTGATCACATTAACTCGAAAGTAGAAGTTATAAAAATGAGCTTAACGGATTTGTGCCATTGAGCTTTTTCTATTTTTATGAAAAGTTTATCATAAATCTCATGACATAATGGTTCAAAATTGTGCTCAAGAGAGATACAATATTTATGTTATTTGATCTGCTCAGGCATTCATCTATAATAGCCATCACAGATAAATAAACAAAATTGCTGCACATATGAATATGTAGGATGCTCAAAATCTACATTATATCTCTGAAATGTTGATATGAATGCTCTGGCTGTTTATGTAATTTTAAAATTAATTTTTTTAAAATTTTAACACATAAATACAACGCATGATAGAAGGATTAAATTTTGAATTTAAGTGTAAGCTTACAAAACTTCTTGATTAAAACTTTAGTTTGCTTACCTTAAAATTTTAATAAGGAAATATTAATTAATAAATTAGAGCGTTTATATCATCATTCCAGTTTTGTCGTCCGGATTTTAAAAATTCAAAATGTTATTTGGGCAATTTTCTTAGGGTAAAAAATTTATCCTGAGTCAGCTACCCTACTCCAATCTCAAAACCCAACCCACCTCTTAAAGAAACAAGTTCTTTCTTAAATATTCCATTGTAGTCAGACAATCACCTGAAAATTAATGGCTATCTAAAACATGCATATCTCAATGCAGCATCTCAAAATTTCTGGTTACATTTCATTTTTTCAAGGAGAAAGATTGAGCTGTATTTAAAAGGGACCACAAGGAATGCGGCTCATGGCAGCAGATTTTTGGAGATGGCCAATTACGGAAACACAGCGGCAGATTTTAAAAGATGACTTTTGTTTTCTCTTCCCAGAATTCAAGGATCATCACTTATGGGAGCTAAGGGCGGCAATACTGCAAATCCAGCTGTGGAAAATGAATCCAAAAGTTGCTTTGCAATTTTGCGTAATTTGTTTAGTATGGGAGAAAAAAATTCCTGCAGAAACTTTTGGATTGTTTTCTTCTAAATAATTGAAACATGAGTAGAGCTTGCAACAGCGCATTCTATGATTGGTATTTTTTAACTGCGACCATCAAAATAGAGATAGGTATTATTCTGACTAATTGCTGCATCTTTAAATCTACATCACTTAGGCCTCTCACCCTTTATCCAGCTTTGCTACTCATAAGTGGATGAATGATCTACACTGGAAACGAGTTGCAGCTGTCTGCGTTTATCCTCAGAGAGTTCCCGACGCAGTTCAGTTCTTTAAGGAGTGCTCAATCAAAAATGTGGGGGTTGCTTCTGGTAAGTTTTTTTTTTTCAAGCCTCAATAAGGGCAATATTTCTAACATGCAACAGAATCCCAAAGCTGTGGAGAAGGAAATTTTTCAATAATTCAGCCACAAACACTCTTCACAATGTTTTGGTGCTGCTATGAAGTGAGAGTATTTTGTTTCTTGCGGTTCTTATTCTTAAACCTGAGCTGTGAGCTTGTTGCACAACTAGAAAGCAAAATAAATGGACAAATGAAGAATGTATCAGTGAGCATTTAATATGATTAATAATTAATAATATAAGGTGAACAAATCAACATCACTCTTTGAAGTTTTTTCAGAATTTGCTTCGCACAGAGAAGAAAAATCACAGAAGTTATTAAGAATTTACGTTCAGTATTTTCCCTTTTAAAAAATGAAGTATGACAGGAAGTCTCCGTCACCAACTGAGATATGTCGTTTGGGAGTTTCACCACCGATATCTCTTGGAACGAAATATTTGATCAAAAGAGCTGCTCTGCAAATTTCAGTTTTACTTGTATGCATACTGCCTTTCAACACTTGGTGGAAAAATCATCTCTCTCTGTCTACCCAGGTCTATCTGGTGAGCGCTTTTCAGTCGAACAGAGCTGCAGTCCCTCCATCAAGAGGTGGATATAATGAAACTATTGTTCTTGATCGAAGTTAAAATTTTACCTGAGCCTCTGTGCCAAGTCTGTTGTATGTGAACAGGGGGGTTGGATTTTAAATTCTTACTTTCTTATAGATAATCTTGCATGTGTTGGTTTGGTCTTTAGTGGCAACTGGATTTCCAACTGGCCAATATCCACTTGAGTCAAGACTACTGGAAATCAAATATGCAGTGGAGCAAGGTGCCACTGAGATTGATGTGGTCATCAGTCGATGTCTCGTTCTAACAGATCAGTGGGATGCCCTGTACCATGAAATATCAGAGATGAAGAAAGCTTGTGGTGATGCTCACATGAAAACAATCCTGGCTGTTGGAGAATGTGATTCTTATGAGAATATTTACAAAGCCTCGCTAATTGCAGCTCTAGCAGGTTCTGATTTCATCAAAACATCCACTGGTCAGTTTAGTCTTGTTTCTTTCTTGTCTCACCATCTAAATTAAATCATTTATTTTCAACAAAAGGTGCTAATTTGGATTTTTTTCTGAGTCAGATTTTCAATATTTGTAAAAACAGCAACCTCGAAAAATCCGAGTTTGTACTTTGCTTCAACAAACACTTCAATTTGTCAGCGGCACTCTTTTAAGTTGTAAATGCTTCTCAGTTTTGACCCAAAGGGGTTAAAGAGAGATCTTTTCGGAGCCTTTACATGACATGCTGCTATAAAATGTTAGCTATGCTTGGAAATGGCAAAATAATTGTTACATCCAAGTTTTGGGAAATAATTTTAGGAATTTTTTGCTTTCATAATGAACTGTACTATAAAATAAGTCTGGCCTTTTTCAATTGTTGACTGGTCTTTTAAACTTGTTTGACACTTGACTGATTCCAACTTTGTATTTTTGCAAATCTCATAACAAAAACCTAATTTCTTTTTTCAGGTAAAGAGACCGTTAATGCCACTCTTGATGTTGGAATCATCATGTGTAGAGCCATCCGAACAATCTATGAAGTGACAGGAAAAAAGGTGCATCAAATCGGAAACATTTTCCCCTTAAATTTTTCATTACATCCAACAGGCCGGTAACAGAAAATTCGTTTCTGACATTTGAATTGAACAACACTTAGCTAAAATGGGATTTTGCGACTGGTTGCTGGAACAATTCTATTTAATAGTTGTGATTTTATTGTGTCATATAATCTACAAGCTATCAACATTTTCCTCGGCACTTGAAAACTCATTGATTATTCAACCCAATAAAGCTAAACAATAAAATAAAATAGCACAACAAATCAATCTTACATTTCAGCTCTATCTCATTGTCAATGAAAACATCTTCAAAATCGACTCTCTGATTCATTGAAAATGCCGTCCATACCACGGTTACTTCCAATCGGTTTCATCAATCTGTAACACACACATTTGCATCGGTCGCTCAATGTAAAACACCGATAAAACCATGGTGAAAGAAACCACGGCATTTATCTCCACAAATGCCGTACTTAAAAATTTGGTGTATGGACAGATCATTTCAATTTTCGCTATTACACAAACTGTCTACTGCCATGACATTTCCAGCACCATCAAAACACAACTCTATGACTAGTGCTGAATGTGAACTTCAAACTAAAGGATAATTTCTTCCTGACACTTCTAATGAGATGAAATCCTAGGAAGTTCTAAGGTAAGGGAAAGATCAAATAATCAGCATCATCCAAATTCTGAGTTTTAAGTCAGGATCCATTTCTTTCTATCCAAGGATATAGTCACATTATAGCCTTAACTCAAAACAAGTTCTATTATTTTTCAGATTGGATTCAAGCCAGCAGGAGGGATCAAGACTTCCAAAGATGCGATTGAGTGGCTTTCATTAGTCAAATGTGAACTAGGAGACGAGTGGCTAAATCCCTCGTTGTTCCGAATTGGAGCTTCAAGTGTTTTAGATGATATTGTCACCTCTATCATACACAGAGCCAGACCGCCCGCTGTTGAAATCATCTAGCCGCCTCCGCCGCCGCCGCCTCCTCCCCTCTCCCAGCCGTAAGGTGTGCGCATGAAAGGACAATGAGCAATGCATGTGAAATTTACACTTTTATTCAGTGAGAATAAATTGCACATTCTTGCTGAAAAATGTCGCAAACAAACATTTTAGATTAAAAAATAATTCCCCATGAAATTAGGATTTATGACACGATAAGACAAAAATGAAAAGTAAAATGATGAACTATAAATGAAACATGGTAAGAATTTGAATGAAATACTAATTTTTCTGAAAAACTTACAAATCAATTTAGATGAGAAGAGAGAAAATTTGTAGGGTAGAAAATCAAAGGAGGCCTCCTAGATTTTTTACTGATTGTGAGCTTTTGAACTCTCTAGAAATTCCTCTTCCTTAGCGTGGAGCGAGCAAACTCTTTGATGATGTCCTTAAAGTTTAACTACACAGTGATGTCAGGTTTAATGGATAGCATGGCGACATTCACAAGCCTTTTCTTTGGTTGAGATGTTCTCAAATAATTGTGCAACTGCCCGTAAATTTGTATCATTAGTTCAGGCAGAAGATTTAGGGGTAATGTTTAGTTTAAATTACCACCACAAAATAATTTTCTCAGCATAAGCATTTGATTAACAGCAATCAAAAGGCACCATCCTGAGAAAGAGTGTATAAGCATTAGCTGAATCAAATGTTCCCTCTCAGGGTGATATTGCAACTAAAACTATAATGGTTGCAAAATATATGGAAATATATGGAATGATTGCAAAATATTTTAAGAATCGTAAATAAATATATTTAATGTAATTCGAAGTTATACAGCTGTGATTCAGTTGATACGTGATAAAAATGTTTCAGTCACAAAACATGGTGCTTTTGTGTACAGGCGAGTACTTTTCCATGAAATTGTGATCTTTTTCGAAAAGACTAAAATAGACTGATATGAAAGATGAAAATCTTATTTTTACTGAGAGCATTTGTTCACTATTTTTGTAAAAAATACATTTTTTGTTCAATATTTCTTGTGGATTTTTTTCCTAGCTTTCATATTAATACATATGTATATTTGGATTACATTTTGAAATAAGGACCCACTATCTCTGGCTCGTCTATAAAAGCACATATCTGCAAAGGGAAACCAATGGCATGCATGTTGTTTCTAAAATGGGCCAGAAATAGTGGTTCCTTGTTGCAAAATGTGATCCATTTATTAGCCAGTGATGAGATCAAATGAAAGAGATTTAAGATTATTATCATTTTAGTGGGTGAAGGAAAACGCTCAAAACTAACATTCTTCCAAAAAGAACCCAACACCTTCTGCAAGATCGAGTGACCCCCGAGCGGTGTGAAATACATGTGTATAATTCTTACCAACAAATTCTGTGGACTATAAATTATGAAGAAACTGAGTTCAAAACATCCCCTTTGTTCTGCTTGTTGTCCTGCAGATTACTTATAACTAATGCAAAAATGTGCAAAAATAGGATAATAGGGTTTCCCTCCAGTGTTTGTCAAATGAACATTATTCAGAGGTAGGTACATCATAAGCTCATAAAGCAATTCTGAGTCGTTCTATTAATATTATCTTTCTGATTCTCCAAATTTCTTCACTCTCGTTCTTTCTCAGCCACTATTAAAAACTGTTATATAAACCATCACAGTTTCACTAAAAGCCTCCTGAGGAAAGATTTGAATCACCTATGGTTCTTTAGTATAAATTAGTGAATTATGACAAGTTTTGAAGTTGCAAAGAAAGTCATGTAGAATATGTGCTGAGGGATGAAATTTAAAATACGGAAAATATCACTAATTCAAATATATAATGATTTTATTTCTGTTTACCCTTGATGCTCCATTAAAATCACAGTTCTCATCAGTTCTAAAACAGAGGAGATTCATTCTCACCTGCCAGTAACAAGAGTGAGGATCCCACGGTAAAAAGTAATCCTCCTTTAAAGTACCTAATAAAAGCCACATCAGTCATTGTCTAAATTTTGCTACCTTCGGTTTCATAAAAAAAAGGACTTGAGATCTAAATCATTCATGACTGCACCAAGGAAACATTACAGGAAATAACTTGTGGACATTCATGTTACAGCACCCGCAAGGAAACATTGAAGTTGAGTAATTTGGACAGATCCTAATAGGACTCACCTCCTTCCTCATCGTCCTCATTCTTTAATTTTAAAAATGGCCTGCACAAATCGTCACCTTCCGGTCAAAGTATCACAAGCGCCATGCGACGTTTTAAAATTTCCACAGTCATTTTATTTTTTTACAGAGAAATCGTTCAACGAAGCTGTCCGAAAATTTCACTGAATTTTCTTTGCACTGCCGATAAAATTCAGTGAAATTTTCAAATAGATTCAACCAAAAATTTCTCTGTAAAAAAAAAGCACGGCCGAAATTTTGAAACGTCGCATGGCGCTTGTGATACTTCGGCCGGAAGGTGACGAAATGTAGAATAGGTATCAACAGATACGAACTAGCACATGGGACAGTATCTCAAATTTCAGAGAAGTATGTGTATGGAACCCCTGTACTCGATACAAAATTAAGGATTCAACAGCTTTTGATTTTGAATGGACTGACATAGTTTCCATTATTGAATTTCAGCAGATACAACCACACAGGTTTTTAAAAAAACTTGGAATTTCAATGCACTGATGGAGTTGCCTGAGATAGATATCAATATATGTTCCAATCTAGACCCGATGCCGCGTCAACTTCTAAAACTCTCTAACGTATGAGTACTATCAAATAAGACAGATTTTCACTGTATATTTTCGTCGGATTTAACGTTTTTGCACCTACATAGTAAATATTGGGCAGAACTTGCTCCCCTCAGCCTCTTCTCGTGATTCAACCAATGGAATGGATGGATCCTGTTCATGGTTGGGTCCAAACATTCCAAAATGACATCTGCTAGGAGTGTTAGACCCTTATTATTCAAATGTACAGGTCCCGTTTTTCCAGAGACATATGTTTTTTCAAACAAAGTGATGTCTAAAGGCGCCTTCGGCTCATTAAATTTGAAAGCATCGATGACTACAACTTTTTTTCGGGTTCCAAACGCAGCTATCCATCTATTCTCTTTGCTGATGTCCTCGTTCAACTCTGGCATTCGAGGGGTTGGAGGTATTGTGACCAATAAAACCCTCCTACAGGCGATTGAAGCCATTTTCAATATGAGGTTACAATTGTCTCAAAAGGCGTCTGTTCTATGCACGAACTAGAGCCCACAAACTGATTCTGGTTCATTGGTGACAGCTTCCTCTCAAAGAACGCTGGGCCGACATTCTTTGAGGGTAACCAATGAGCCAATTGGTGGGCTGAGTTTGCGCATGGGATGGCTGCTTAATTACGGACAAATGACTTGTGCTCGGGAACCGAAGATAAGACTATTTTCATAAAAAGTCAGCATAAATTTAAGATTCGTGTATTCATAGATCGTACTTGTATTACTTAAAGGTTGTGAATACTAAGAAAAAGGCCTGATTTTCTATTTTGAGATAAGTGGTCACTTGACTGCAACTAAATTGATTAGACATTGAATTGTTAAATATAAAAGACTTGTTCACAATCCTATAAGAAACAATACAAGTTTTAAAATAAAAGATACGGCTTTAATTACCTATTAATAACTGGTATATGATTTAAGTTGCGATGACTTTATTTGATACAAAATCCAAATCAAGTGTTGACTCATTGGTATTAAACAGCTATATTAAATAGCTTATCTGTTATAACTTTAATGACCACTGAAATCCCGAAATGAGATAAGAGCAGACAGGGAGATTGCATTAACTTGAAACAAGATGATACTTTTTTTTTAAAAAAGTGAGATTATAATTTCATAAGGAAACAAAATATAAACATAATTAACAGAAAATCATTTCTCTGGTATGAAATTAGAGTAATGCACTTCGGAATGAAATTCAGATCATTTCAGGAATACACTATTTCCTAGAATTACTCGATATGAATCATGAAAATGATTGTAGAAAGTAACTTCTAGTTTGGAGCTTGACGAAAGACAAAATCAACCTCTTACTTTTGAAATATTGAAAATTATTTAAAATATTGTCAAAAACTGAAAATTTGCAACTTCAAGGGAATAAAAAGTAGACATAAACAAAATTTGGGTTATCAAATATATTTTGGCTTTTCATTGTTAACATATTTCCTCAGTCTGCAACGCATTTAGGCTATCCACATTGATAAAATCTCCCTCAAAAACCCCAAATTAAAGGTAACACCATCCATCTTGATATGGATTCAACAGTCGATTCCATCAATCAAAGAACGATTTCACCAGTTAAATTATTTTGGTTTAAATATATGATAACCCAAGGAGACGCAAGAAAAATAGGGAATAAAAGATTGCTAAGAGTTGCCGTTTTTACATTTCTTTTAATAGAAATTGAAAGCAAAACTGATCTCTTGGCGCACTTAACTTGTTTGATGACTCATCAAACAAGGTGTTCATAAGCATCAAAAATTCACTTTAGGTGTCAGTTGATATTCACCTAAAACAAACTAGTAAATTTTCAGGAAATTAATTTAATTTATAGAATCACACCACACAGTTTCAGAAAAAAACGAAACAATGAAAAAACTCTTTTACATCTTTAGGTGAACTAGCTTCAAGGTTCCGACTTAATATTGTGTCATTTTTTTATAAATCATGGTAGTCATGAGATACCTTAATAAACTGAAAAAAACATAAATTCGATTATTAAAATTCACCCGGTAGAAATTTTTGAGCTTCAATCTTCCCTTTTATTTGCACAGTGGGATGATGTGCATGTTAGAAGTTAATTTTAGCAGTCCATTGTGCAAACTTGAGAGGTCCATGAAATTTTTAACCTTGCAATCTTCTGGATCATTTGACAGAGGTGGAATCTTTCTTGTGCTACTGCTACACATGTCTTTGGCAGAGAGAGGATTCTTGATATCAATGTTCTACGTGGGTATGATTCTATCATTGAAAATGCAATATGATGACAAGATTGTCAAAATTTTAGCAAACGCGCCTGGTTCTTCCTTTTTTGGGTGCAAATGTATTTCATAGATATGATCTCCACTCTTACTTAGGCATTTATGATAATGATAGGACAAAATGTATAAAAAAATTTCAAAGGCTAAATTATAAAAAACTTAGAGTCAAAGAAGAAACTTTACACATTTTAAACATACATAAAAGCTCCAGATTCAGTCCGTAAACTAAAAAATAACAATGAAAACAGAGATAAGCTATACACAAGAGAAAGGGAAACTAAAAATATGATCACAAAATTAAAATTTGTGAAAACCTAGAAATAGACAATATGGGTGGAAAAAATACAAAAATAATATCTCATTAATTTACAAATTATTCTGTTTCACAATTGTCAAAAAATAAAAACTAACTTTTGGGGACTTCAATTGTCAGAGCCCACCTTTGATAACCTATGTGATTCTTCTATAGCTGTTATTTGAAAACTAATCAGAGAGACGAAATTAGAGTTTAAGTCTGCAGTTTTGGAAAATTGCAACAAGTTAAAATCTGGAAGAAATTTTTGTACTTATTAATTACAATGAACAGAGGCAATAAGCCACAGATGCACTGATCAACAGACACAGGTTGTGAACATAATGAAAAATCAGCTAAGGAGACGTGTTTTTGCAGGATGCAAAGACATGATGATACTTTGGCTGAGGATCACGACCTATGTCTATTAATTAATTGATAGCTGAATTAGGTTACCTAAAAAACTTGAGGGTATTGTCTTATGAACTGATCAGATACACTAGATTGAACGATGAATCAAAATTTCTAACAAATTCATGGAGGATAGTTCCAAACTGTCCAGAAACTTCACTTGTACTTAATTAGGTAAACGTAAGTAAAATTCAAAATTTAAATCCTTGACTCAGAAACAGAGAGCTGCGCAACATTTTTGAAAAAATTAAGTTCCAATTGATCACTAGGGAAAAAAGCTAGGGCCATCATTCCTTCAGTGAATGAAATGAGGAATGTAAATTATTTTTTAGAGTGTCCACAGCATGTCTTAATTTTACTCAGCCAAACAGCTGTGTTAGAAATCTATAACTGAATTGCATTTTGCAAAAAGGAACCACTAGCATTGCAATGATGCTAAGATTGTGCAACTTCATCTTTTGCGATAAAATTGCGGAAATCGTGAAAAACTATAAAATTTAGATGGTAATTTTTGTCTTAAATTTACAGTTTTTAGCCAGTAAAATAGAAACTATTAATGGATAATCGGGTTGTTCCTCCAAGACAAAAGAAGTTGCACAATCTTGGTAACATTGCAATGCTAGTGGTTCCTTTTTGCAAAATGCAATCCAATTTGTTTTGGAGGTCACAAAAATGTTGCTTTTAAATATTCAGACATGATTAATTTGTAACGCTGTGAAGTTCAAAAGGATAAATAAGAGAGAATCAGGAAATTTCTAACACCTGTTTTGAAAGATTGTACCTAGAAGTCATCACCTATCCACTTCAACAATCCAACAATTGTATTCTTCTGAGAATTTCACAGGTTTAACTGCGATGCATTCTTCGACATTTTTGTTGAAATGTATTGGTGAAGTTTTCTTTGAAAACATAATTTTGATGGAAAAGCAGGGATAGGCAAGTAATTTTGGACCTAACTTCTTTAATTCTTTAACAGAAGCTTTGATGACATCCCCAACATCAATTAATTGCAAAATTGGGTCCGGCTCAATACTTAAAATTTTCGCGCGCCACCACCTACTGAGATATTGTACAAGACAAAAATCATTTTGTTTTCCATTTTTTAGTTCCACAGCGTTGTGGCCTTCTGACTGAACAATCTTATCCGCAGCAGCCATTTCATCTTCAAGCTCCTGATTTTGACAATAGAATACGTTTTGCCGTACTGGACAAGTAATAATCACCTGTAAGAAGGAAAAAAAATATTTTTGTGCATTTAGAATGTTACAAGATCTTGTTTAGTAATTCTTTTATGGAGACAGTATCAAATACATCGATACGGAATCATATTAAATGTATAATATAACAGCACTTGAAAAAAGCAGTCACATATTGGACCAGTGTGCAAGTTAAACAGAGGGCAGGACTCACATGCCAAGACTTCGGTTAGAAGTGGTTTTGTTGAATATAATCTCACCAAGCCAAAACCATAGCAATGTTTTGGGAAAACTGATAAAGAATTGCTAGGGAACCGTATTTGACTGTCCTGAATCCTACCTGGATAGGCTGGCAAATGCACTCTGACATAAATATGCACTAGGACATAAAAGTTCCATTACTTTTCAAAAAAAAACTTCCCTGACTGATTTTGACAAAATTTCCTGACTTTATAAAAGAAAAGAAATAGCTTGGCTACTTTTGAGAATGTGAACTTAGCACTGCTGCATTCATATAAGACTAGAGACATGTCGCCAGACCTGGCAAATACTGAGACGCTTGAGCATGATCTTCTCCATTGAGAATACCATGGCGAATATTTTCATATGTTTGGCAATGATAATACACGGTCGACAAAAGTGTCCCCTTGATGCAGTCTCCTCTAAAAAAGAAAAAATTCCCTGACCTCTTGCAAAATTCTCATACTTCACAAGTTTTTTTTAATTCTCTTACTTTGCCAGCTTTTCCCTTACGTTTGGGACTCTCCTAAACTAAATAAAAACACTTACAAAATTTGATGAAGATAGACCATTTAATTAATTACAGTAGAAACCGCTTATAACGACACATGTTATAACAGAATCTCGCTTATACTGTAATATTCGCGCAGTCCCGTTTTTTTGCCCAAAAGAACAATGTAAAATAATCTCGCATACATCGGAAACGCATATATCGAAAACCCGCTTATGGCGGAAAGAATTTTGGTCCCAAATCGAAAAAATTCCGATATAAACGAGATTATCCCGAAAAAATTCTGTGCCGAGTTTCGAGAGAATAAATAACACGAGTTAATTGCAAACAAAGACACAAAAGCGAGTGTTCGTATCTAAACGCACAGGGATAAAGTGAAGCCAGGTCTGGCGCTGGACGCTTGTGTGAGTGTGTAAATGAGCGCCGGAATCCATGGGCAGGAAACGAAAATTTCATTGGAACTTGTCCTCTTGATTTTACCACATTTCTTCTTCTAAACGTGTTTTAAATGCCTCAAACGAATATATTAGGAAAGTTGGGGCGGTGACTCGGTAAAATACACCTATTTTGGCTTGGTAACAAGCAAGGATCTCAAATAAAGTTAGTTTTCCTTCTGCTCATGGTGGTCCTGCCGGTTCAAACAAGCCGTTACAGTCCTGGGTGACCGTTATTCCCAAATGAAATTAATCGGTCGATGACAAACCAAAAATAACCTAATAATATAAAATATATGTGGATAAGTGAATTTGGGCAAAAATCAACCTAGAATACTTTATTTGTGCAATTTTATTTAGTTCTTGCCCTACATTTAAAATTCAAACTTTTTAAGCGCTCCATCTGAATGTCTTTGATCATGAACTTCAATCTCCTCAGATAAGCAGAAGGTCAAAGGTTATGTTAACGAGCCAGCGATGCATGGTTGATTGGCCATCTGCATGGTTGTTCTAATGACATGGGATGACATAGCAGGTGCATTTTTGTTTGATTGGCTATTGTGTTCACGTCATGCGTGAAATCGCAAACGCCGACGCTGCATCCTAGGCACGCGATGTAAACAATATCGATGACCCCTGAAAGATTTTAATTGTCCATCATTGCCGTATTCACCCAAAATTTAGGAACATTATTTCACGTCAGTTTAAAAAAAAATGACAGCTTGTTGCATGGATTAGTTTTACAGTTTTGTATTTGATAAGAACGGAATTATTTCTTCCGATTATCACAAAAATAAGTACTGCTCGCGATAAAATTCAAATCGATCCCAAGAAATTGGGTATTTAGCTGTCACAATGCGGCATGAAGACGGACCAGACAGACCCAGTTATTGCGGAGAGGCGCGGGCCGCGCTGTTGCCGCATAGAACTCAATATTTACGCAAAAACCGCTTGTACCAGAATCCTGCTTAGAACGTAACATTCGGCCAATCCTGATGCGTTCTGTTATATCGACGGTGAAACTACCAAACCACGTATCTCGGTTTGCGACGTCGTAGACTTCCTGTCATACTTTATTTTTTAAATGAAAAACTACTGAACGTCCAGTCTTGAAAATTTTTGTGATTTTTCCTCATCGTGCGGAGAAAATTCTGTGAAAATTTCAAGGAATGATATTGATTTGGTCTACTTCAAAAAAATAAAATGCGAGCGTAGATTTTTAAACACCGCAAAGGAGATACGTGGTTTGGTACTTTCACCGTCGATATGCGGTTTCTACTGTACATTAACTTAATGAACATTGCTGTTATCTAAAAGGATTTTCTTTAGCTACAATAGTGGTCAGTAGCAGTTGAAGATCTTTAAAGAATTAGATAAGGGAATAAAATCAATATCAATAAAAATTGTAGGTACTAAATAAGTGACAGTTGATTAAATGTTTCTGCTTATTTGAGTGGTCAAGTATGGGAGAATACTAAATGATCCAAAAATTGCGTTCTGTATAAAGCTTTAAAGTTCAATAGGTTGTATACTTACAGTGGTGTATTTATCAGAAGGCAAGGGACATACTCTTCCTCCATCCAGACACGATAGCCCTAACTTTGTTTCGAGGATGGGGATCTCGCTATCACAGCCTTCCTGACAGGAACCGGAAAAAGAAACAAGATCACAAGAAACTATTAGTGCTTGAAACTGGATAAAGAAATGACATGCGCATAAAAATAAGATAATATCAAGCCAAAAAAGTTTTACTATTTCTGAGGCTTCACCAAGATTCACTGCTAGATTAAGAATCACAGCAAAAAAGTTCTACTGATTGCCATGTCTTTGTTCGCCTACGGATTCACACTGAAATCAACTCACACGTCTTGACAAGAAATGCATTGCGCAATAACCACGAAACTAGCTCCTGAGCGCAAAACTAAAATTTGCTCACAAAGTAACCTCAGTGAACTGGACAAAAATTTGGTCTCTTTGATTCATATTCTGATAATAATTGAAACAGATTCATTCTCCGCTTGATATTGCTCTCTTGAAATTAAGGTTTTGGGTTAGGTAAAGAGGGTTTATGAAAATTATGATACCATAAATTCTATCAAGTCCACTGGAAAATATACTGACTAGTATTCCCATAACACTATTAATGTGGTATTTAAGTATACTGTTTCCTTGCTAAGCTACTGTCACTTCATTTTAATGTGATCATTAGTTTAAAAAATAAAGGTACACTCCAACTGAGATGGAAAAATTCGGACTCACATTAGCTGCCATAATCCAACTGTTAAATTCTTCATCATACTGAACTGGTTTCAGGGCTACAGATGCAAGGAATTTTTTTGGAAATAAGTCTGGTGACGTTCCATCCACAAACCGCCATTTGAAGCAGTAGACAGGCTTATTCTTGAGGTCATCAGGAATGATGCCTACACAGTCCGCAGGTAGAGAAACTTCATCCCCATAGTCAATAAGCTGCACAGTGCGGACCTTCTCATCCACAGCTACGATTCTACCACGATACCACTCTTGTTCGTAGAAGGCAAAACAAAGATCACCAATTGCAGGATTGATGAGTTCTTCGCAAGTTTGTCCAACTCTTTGGAGGATTTGAGAAAGTTTCACCATATCTGCATCATGACTAGACGGTTGCCCAAAGAAAATACCATCTTCAGCCCTTTCTATAGATGTGGTGGTCACCTGCAAGGCAGACAATTTGTGTTTGTTTATTGTGCATTGTAAAAAATTGAAAATTTTAAGAAACTATAAAAAATTTCCTGTAAAAAAGATGTTTTCTCCTTAGATTGCAAAAGAATAGTTTCAGGAGCATTACTGGATATATGAAACAGGACAGCCACTTATTCCCAATTCTGCAAATTCTACCTGATACGTATCATGGAAAAATCTACCTTTAAGCACAATCCAGGAGTCAGAAATGATGCAAAGTCAAGCAAAACCTAAATGGATACTTGTGGAAGATTGATAGGGAATGTAAATGTAAAAGCAATATCAAAATGTCAACATTGAAAACAAATGCGTGTATTTGATGCTGAATCTAAAGAACGGCATAGAGTAAACAAAGCATTTTATTTTGCTGCAAAATTAGTAGCCTTTAGACGTTTTCAACAGACGAAGATTTAAAGCTGAACACGGAGATTTCAAAGCTCCAATGAATGTGAATGCTACAGCCCTGGGTAAGAAGTGGGGGGATTAAAAATTAGAGAGTAAAATGTGCATTGTACATGTTATTCAATGATGCTAGGAGAACTGACGAATACTTAATGCTTCAGAGTTGGATTGACGCATAAACATTTTGGAAAAGTCCACAACTGTTCACTTTTTTCACCATATTTCACTTAGTTAATGAGGGTTTATTAGGCCTCGAAACACAATGGACAAAACGCGCTTGCTAACAGTAACTTTGAAATTTGAAGAGGAGGATCCAATATGAAAGGCAGGCCCAGAGAAAAAATGAAAGGAGAAAACAAAATCCCCACAAAACTTGTCTAAATTTTAATGGGACACAATTTTACAGATGGATCAGGGTTCATGCGTTATTAGAAATAAAAACTCAAGTACTTTACAGGCACTTTTGGCAAAACTGATTTCTAAGCATATTATGTCTGCTCTAAACACCCATCCTCGAGACTGAGAATTGAATGTATCGATTACATATCATGAAAAATACTCTTTACAAAACTTAGATACGGATTATAAGTTTCCTGAACACTTTTTCTATTTCAAAATACTGAACTGGACATTCAATAGATCAATACCATGATATTTATCTTCTTTTGATCGATTATTCTTTTTTTCCTGCCCTCAGACTTCTTTATAGCTGATTCATCAAAATGCTCAACGATTTTTTCCTGGTGCTCTGACACCCCTAAAAATTGGTGAGAGTGAAATTTAACACTTACAATGCCTTTTCTGAAGAATGGGGCATTTAAAAGCCTTGTATTCGCAAGACAAGAGCACTTTTTACATGCATCGCAGGGCTGCACAAAATTTTCTGACTAAAACGTGGGTCTAGAGTTTGCTGATAACAATGATGAATAAAGAAAACCAAACCACACCACTTTGTGAACAGCATTTTAAAGTTACAGAGTTGGTGTGTTCACAGTCTGAGTCACTTGATTACGTTTAAGCCTACCTAGAGGGTAAGTTGTGTAAAACCTTGATTATGAAAGCTTAGGAAACCATGAAATTTTTATAAGTATTCAGTATTCTTTAAGGTATTTCAAAACTCACAAGCTGCTTTATTTGAAACATGTAAGACAGCAATTGTAGGCACCTTCTATTTATGGGATTCTTATCCTCAAATGCCTAATTAAAAAAGCACAGGGACATACTTCAACAAATTCTGAAAAAAATATTTTTGACATTGGAAAAATTTTCAATATTTTTGGAGCAGTCATTTATGGGAAACTTCCCAATTTGACTTGTATCCTACCTCGTATCTAAAACTGATGATTAAAATTTGAACAAAAAAATACGATAGGAGTATTGAGGTTATCTGGAATATAAGCCAGAAAACCAACAGAAGAAGAAGAAGAAGAAGAAGTATTGAGGTTATGTCACAAAGAACGACACACGGAGAAACAAAGCATGGAGAAAAAACCTTAGACTGTTAGACTCTCCTCAAAAATTAGCATCTCATTGGAGAGAATTCGGCAACTGTTAAGTGTTCATACGGCATTTATCCTTAGCATGGCAGTATAATACAATTTACAATATATACCGTGCATTAGGATTTTCTTGGTGAGCCGATAGATAGGCAGCCAGGATTGCGTGTAGTACTGAGAGGCAAAAAACGACTAAACCCATTTCACAACGCCCTGTTTGCCGATAGCAACGTGAGTAGCAGAAATCAGGTGAGACTATCAACAAATATTTCACTTGAAATGCACTAGAGCTCCCTCTAGCCTAGAGCTCATCACAGCCGCATCAGCAACACGAACAACGTAATCGGATTAAAGTTCCCTGACTTACTGTCAAATTTCCCTTAAATTCCATCATTTTTCCCGGTCCTTACAGATTCCCGGATTTCCAGATTTTTGGCCACCCTGCTGACTTTCCAAGATTTCCTGACCGCCGGCGACCCTGAGAAGATAGTTAACTACAGCTTGTATAACTTCCGGCCCCTACAGTCTCGGCTGATACGGTGAGACTGAGCACCAAAAATACCAAGGCAGTCAACATGTTAAAAAAAAAAAACTCATCATGCAAAGACTGAAGCACTTAGGGTTCTGAACACCAACCTTTAGGAACAAAATGCTTGTTCACACCAAATTTGCAACCCTCGATTATATACACTTCCGTGTCTTCATGCAATTTAGTAAAGCATCTAATTTTGCTACTTCCTTTCCAATTGCTGTTTTTGAGGTGCTAAAGGTTACATATGATCTATTTGACTTCATTTTGATGATAAAAGATTTTCTGTTCTAGTTCCCATAAACTCATCCTAAGTTTCGCTGTTCAAGATACGACAAAAAATTTCAAACTAACAACCGTTGATTAGAAAAAATAATGAAGGTCATTATCTCAGTGATGTAAATGATCAAACACATATGTATATTACCAATTAGTAGAAAATAAAAGTAATTTGAAAGTAGAAAAAGGAACTTACCGATGTGAACTCATCTGCTGGGATGGGAGGAACCTTGATAGTTACAGACGGCGGTTGGACAGAGGAGCTTTCCATCTGAAAAAGGAATGAGTTTTAAAAAAATTAAAAACAATCGAATAGTTAACAAACCTGAGAGAGGCTTCAGGAGGGATAAAAAGAATCATCAACCATGTTGAAATTCTCCATGCACACAGTTGGAGCTTATTATTTTGGTTGGTTATTTGCTTTAAACTTTTTGAGCATAATCTGTTTTTAAAAACGTTGCAATGAAGATTAATATTTTTTAAGTTTCAACATCGATATACTGCAATCCAAAAGTTGCTCTAACATGATAAAATCATGAGAAAAAGTCAGAAAGCATAATCGTAACATACAACCCTGAGGCTGAAAAATTAAAAGCAAAAAGATTAAAAGAACGCTGACTCTTTTAACAGTTCTTGAAAAAATTATTGGAACTCGGAATCATAAACATGTATGTATACATGTACGACTAACTGACGAGGAGTTACATTAATTTGAAAGAAAAAAAATGGATACTTTGGAAGCGCATAGCTCATTTATAAAGGGTTTTCCAGCATACGTGTGTAGGAAAAAAATTCATATTTTGAGCCGAAAAATTGATCCTGAAACAGTGGCGTGGCGTGATTTGCGATTTATCAATTGTTCTGCCATTTAAACCTATGGTAAAGGATCCATTATTAAGGTGTTCGCTGCGAACACCCTGTTTATAGATCCTTTTCCATAGGTTTAAATGGTCTAACAATCGATAAATCGCAAAGCATGCCACGCCACTGTCCTGAAAGTTAAGTACATTAACTTCTGGACACCCTGTGTAAACACGTTTACTACCTTGCTGGTCCCTACAGACCAGCAGTGGTTGTTCAGCAGTGGCACAGTACACGGTTTGCCTTAAAAATCGGGGCACAAATATCGCACGGCGCAAAAAACTGGCAAGTAAAACTACTATCCCTCTAAGACAGCTGTAGCGCTATCTCTTAGAGGCCGGTGTGACGTGAAATTGAGGTATGCAATCATATAGTGGTCTCTCCACTCAGTGGCAATAATTTATGAGTGTCTTTTGTAAGCACTGGTCTTGTCGGGCCAGCATGGCACAATGGGACATACCACCAATATGCCGTAGCAGTTATTGTGTTGAAGAAAACTTTAATTTTTCAGTGACTAATGCTGAGAGTTGGTGTGTATTGAGAAACAGAAGAAGAAATAAAAGAATACAAAATTAAAAGGAGAAAACAAAGAAGAGAGGGGGGTCAAGACACTCCTTGCTTTAGAATTTACAGGGGGCATTTTCAGCACGCCTGCTTTTAACAGTTCCTTGAAGAGGCAAGGAATGGGCATTCTTAACATTCTTGGCCCATTCTCTTCAGTTACCTGAGTAAAAAACAATGTAGGAAAGTTTTTGAGCCATTGTCAGACTGTGCGAAGACATTGATTATCAATTCTCATTAAATTCGTGACAGTTTTTTCTTCTATTTTTAAAATATATTGTAATCTTGGTTTCGAAAAGAAAAATATCCCAGAGGGGTATTGGAAATATTTTCACTCACATTGACTGTCATGATCCATCCACCTAGTTCTTCATCATACTGGACTGGTTTCAAAATTATCTTCTCATCCGCACACTTTGGAAATAGATCTGGTGAAGTTCCATCAACGAATCGCCACTTGAAGCACGTGATAGGTTTGCTCTTAAGGTCATCAGATATCACACCCACGTAATCAAAGGGTATGGTAATTACATCTCCATAATCAATGAGCTCCACAGTCCGGACCTGTTTGTCCACAGCTATGATTCTACCACGATACCATAGCTCTTCATACAAGGCAAAACAAATATCGCCGATTGCAGGCTTTTCGAGTACTGCACAGTTTTTTCCGACTGAATGAAGGACTTTCAGAAGTTCAATCATTTCTTCCTCACAACTAGAAGGTCGTCCAAAGAACACACCACTTTTGGCTTTCTGAACAGATGTAACGGTTACCTGCAAAGAAGCAAAGTAAGCGTTTTCATTGTACACAAGGTTGTATTTTTAAATTTCTATGATACTTTTTTCCCGAAAAAATGGTGCCTGGTCAAGGACCAATAGAATAAATAAGGACTCCCAACTCCCTATGCTACCCTGTGTTAAAAACCGTTAACGCGCGCTCGCAGCGAACCTGGCAGAGGGTGCGGTGAACTAACGCCGCAGCGGTCCACGATCGTACCTCTATAGTATGTTATTCCATGCAATGTTCTTTGTTTATCTATGATTTATTTATTTGTGTAGATACTTTAATACAGTTTACTTTCGCAAACTAATGAAATTGTATAGATACATACCTTCGGCAGAGGTCAATGCGAAAGACTTTGATTTGAAGTATCTTATCAAAACACGAGCAAAGATGATTCAGTCAACTTCTGACGCAGAATCAAAGAGACTTGCTAATAATCAAATTAAAGGTAATGCTTGAAGTCAAGTATCTTTGATTTTGTGACACTCAGTTGATTTTTATCAGTACAACACTATTTCTCACTAAAAAGATTTCACTTAACAGAGAGGCGCCTTTGGCTAAAAGTACAATCCTGATTCCTGCTGCACACTACATACACACTTCCTTTGGCTTTCTCAACAGCAGTTGCTGCTGAGTAAAACGGTTAGAAATAACACTTCCAACACTTCACATTAATACCAGTTTATGTACACAAAGACTGACGAAGATTGAAATGAAAATGGGAAACTTTTCACACTAAACTCTTCAAAACTGCAGGGCGACCACGAGGATACGAGGATCTAGAAACTTCTATGAGCACTACTGAGTGATAAGCCTAAATAGGTGGTGCATGGAAATATAAACAGGAAGACCCAATCATCGGTTTAGTTCACTACACCCTCTGCCAGGGAGCGCTGATGTCAGCGCTAACCGGAGTTGGGGACCCTTATTTATTCTCTTGGTCCATGGCCTGGTATTTTACAATTGCATTGATAAGAAAGGGGGGAAAAAAAACCAAAATTATCAAAAGATCTACGTCAGGTAGCAAACTCCTTATTTCTTAAATAAGTAAAAGCTTGAACTTTGGTCATAAATGGCTTGTGCTTTAATTAAGAAAAATCTTCATTGAATAATGCTTTGGTTGAACTGAAAACTAAATAAGAAGAATGAGTGTCAATTGAGTCCAATGCAATGAACCGTTAAATTATGTTGGCCGCTTTTTTAACAACTGAGAGCTTAATTGCCAACACTCTAAAATTCACTTGATACAAATATGTTGCTTGTTTACAGTTGTGGAACAAAACTTGCAAACTTCTAATTTATTATTTTCTCTGATGAGATACTGCGAACCATTTTCTGACAGTTTCTGGAAGATTTAGGGACTGACCATCACGCCTGTCTTGCTTAACAGTTTCATGAGGATTTAGGTTCCAAGCCTACATTAATACCCTTCCAGCAATGAATTTTGTGTGTCTATTTTCCCATTTATCATCTGCTTTAGAGCCGCTATTCAGTTCTTAAAAAATCTTCCCTGACACTGGCCTCAGTTATTGTCGCATATGCAGCAATAACTGAGGCCATAAATGGACAAACTGCTTACTTCTGTGAATGAGTTCCTGTCAATGGGGCAAGTAGGCTTCTGTGTTTGGGTTACTTCCACTGGTGATTTTTCCACTGAATGCTTGTTTGATGCCTGCAACAGACAAGACTTGATGAGTTCCTAAAGTTTGGGGGCATTCCTCTTCTTGGAAGAATGCCATGGTCAATTTTTACACATTATCTGCACAATGCTAAAACTTTGACAATTTTGCGATGGCTGGCTCAGCCAATTTTGGTGGAGGGCTGAATTCCAATTCATTATTCATTTTAATGAAAAGTATGTAATTGCGTCTCTGAGCCTGCAGACTGGAGTTCTGCATGGTGAACAAACTCGTTCTCTGCTCGTAGGAGAGTGATCTACAATGGGGGATGAATAAATGAATGTGATAGGTATTCTAAAATTCATTTTAATAATCTCATGAAGTGTTTTAAACTTAATTTTGTTCATACAGTTAACTTTGAGAAAAATAGTGCTTTAAACTTGCAGGTGACATTAATTAGGTGAAAAAATACACCTGAGCTTCCCATGAAACAGAAAAGGAGAAAGAAATGGAGTGGACTCTTCAGTGTCTGATTTGATCAGGACTGAACCCAACTGGCCAAAGAGACAGTTCAGATAGCCCGCATATAGAACACCAACACCCAAGACGCACAAAAAAAGGGATAGACACTGAATGTATTAAAAAATGCAAGTTACTTTTCAGTTTGGCTTTTCATAGAACTATTTAACAGTCTTTTCTCAACGTTTTCTTTCAAAATTTTGGAGCAATCTTAAAATTCTGGTTGAATCGTGGGGGACAAACTGATAGAGATAATTGCAATATTGGGTACCTCCAAGAAACTTGAAAGACTCTTCAACTTTCCGGACATTATGCACGAATAAATTACTACGTATCTGAATTTCTTTCACCCTTTACACCAGTTCAGTGGGACAGTAAGCACTTGGTGCCTAGAGGTTGAAGGATAGCATTCCTTTTTTCTTCATCTCTTTACATTTTTGTAAGATAAATGAGATTCCATTGAGCATTGAAAAGGAGAATGACAGACTTCAACACCTCAAGTTTTTTGACAAGGAATTCAAGAGACGGTAAACTACTATCAACCTCTCGAGACTCACAGAGCATGAGGAGTCAGAATTTGCTTACCGTGGAGGATACGTTTTCTTTTACAGGGCACTGATCTTGAGGAGTATTTTGTGCGGGAATGTCAGATTTTGGGCTTGCCTTCACTGGAGATGTTCCTGGTTGGACAGATGGTTTCTTCTCAGTGACGTCGTTCTGCAACAAATTCCATTTCTCACTTTTATTGTGGTAACAATATCACTCACCAGAGACCACCTTGATTCCTCATGATCTCTTCCGGACAACTGTTTACCCCCTTATTCGGATAATATTCATGTGCATTTTGGATCTTCCATTCTCAAGCTAATAGAGCTTCCTGATAAGTTTTGCAAAAACTCGATTAAATATTTAACTCATGATTGTACGATCATATTCGAAAGTGACTTTCCAACAGAGAAGGTTGGGTGAGGGGATACATTTTTCAGTGGTGTAGATTTTTTTACCATCTGGGTGGAAAAATCTGACTTTAAATTGGATTACACTTTGCAATAAGAAATTACTGTATCTGGCTCATAAACACTTATATGCATGAGGAGACTTGTGTCACATACGTTGTGCTTAAAATTAGTCGGAAATGTTCTTCATGGCCAAGTGTAGTCCAAATGTAGATTGGCAACATGATATAGCTGGAAGAAATCGAAATGTAGAGTGGCAACAACATAATAGAACTGGAATTGATCAATAAGAATTAACAGGACAGAAAGTAGCCAACATAGTTATTTTACCTCCTTATATTGATTTACCACAGGAATTCTACATTTTAGAAGTGACTTAGATACTTCAAAATTCTCTTTAACTGGCCAAGACATTAACATAATCCACACTTGATGTAGATGGAGACAGTGTCACCATTGAAACACGACTTTACATTGCAAAACATTCATACCCAGGTGGGATTAATATTATGATGATTTCAAAATTAAATGTTTGGAGAAGGAAGATTGCATAAAAGTCTCAGGCTCAAATGAATGTTAAACAAGGAAATGGAGGAAAAAAGATGGGCTCTACTCGACTTTTTTCATGTCGTTTCTGCTAATGAGTTTTATCAGAAAAGAATAAATCCTAATTCTTTTTGATAGCGTCAATCGACTCATTCATTTGCTATACGAGAATGTGACTGCCATCCCTACTTAATTTTTTTATTTGCATAGAGATTAGGATTCTTCTAACAGTCTTAACTTCTTGTGTAGGCTTTTGGGATGTAATTTCGTCTTGGAAACCTGCGTGCACCCTGTATGTCCAGACTGCAGATCATTTTCAGACTTTCCCTTTTACACCACCATGCCGTTCTTAATGAAATTCCTGATGTCCTCAAGAGTTTATGCACCTTTTACAGTCTGCACCTCTCTCTGAGTATTCCTCTCGGTGTACTCTCGTCCAACAGTTCGAGTTGTCCATCACAAAAGCACACCTCAAACACTATTTAGTTATGTTGTCAGGAATAATTTCTCTTGCCATATCTTCCATCCAGCAGAAGACAATGCAGCTGTCCGCTGAGTCGTGAGTTTTTTTTTTTTTTATTTCCTCTTTCCACTGCCAACTGGTTATGAGTCAGGTACTGTGCAAGAACAGATGATGATGAGTGCTTGATAGCATTTTCCAGACTATTGAGACGCTTTTCCTACAAACATGGTTAACATTTTTAGGATGATCGGTTTAAATTTTAGAAGTTTGAAACTACTCACCAAACTAGTTGGTGGACAGGGATCTCCTTCCACAGCCACAACCCAACTGTTATCCTTTTCTGAAAAGTGGAGAGGTTTGATCTTCAAACAACTGTAAACGCTTTTCTTATAATACTTCTTCGATGCATTCTCAGCAAGTTTGAACTTGAAGATGGTCCTGGATCTTGGCTTGAGCTCCGTGGGTATTTCCCTGAGATTTTCAGCGGGACATGAAATGCAATCTCCATAGTCAAGCAATTGCACCTTCAGAGGTGCGATGGATAGAATCTCTGCACGGTACCAGTCACCTGAATACTTGACTAAGCATAAACTGCCTACCGCAATATCTTTCATGAGGCAAAAGTTATCGATCTTGTCGGCCTGAGCCTGCAGCTCCTCATGAAGTAAGTTGGTATCACGCAGAAGGGTGGCTGGTTGACCATAATAAGTGTCATCTCTTACTAAACACAGTACAGACACCTGAGAGACAAAAATATTGAGGCTTTGATGAATTTTTGAGATGTAATTCAATAACAATAGGATAGATTGTGGACAGTAGAATTCAAAATAAAAAAATGGAGGATTCAAGTGGTACATCAAATTTCCAGAGAGAAAAGAAAAAAAAACATTGATCGGATGGTGAGAAAACTGAAATAAAATGTCACAGCTCACATTCAATGATACCAATAATACAGTTTGTTCCAAGAAGACTTTTAACTTAGTTAGCATGTTAGCAACTAGCAGGTGTACGCTGAATTACTTGGTAAACATTCATGAGCACTAATTAATATTTTGTGCTTCGGTAATATGAGTTTAAACCAGCAAGAAATATCTCACGGGTGCACTGTGTACACAGCCAAGGCTGATAGACATTGCAACAGGCATAACACAGTAAATTTGCCCTCGAGAAAGCACCTGCCGTACATAGTCTCAATGTGGGTGATGCCTAAGCCAATGTAAATTCAACGTGTCAGCATTTTCAAACTATTTCGCTTTCCAACTTAAGGCTTCATCTTAGAAATATCTTTGCCTCCATCAAATAGGAGAATAAAAGCTTTTGAGAGGTCCGAAGACAAAAGGACAGGACACATTTTCAAGTTATTTGAGTAAGCTCTAAGTAAGTTGGCTGATAGTATTAGTTTTTTTTTTATTGAAATTAAGATAACTGGGTGCCGTTTATGGATTTGAAAAGATTGAGAAGGTAAGGTTTTTTCTGCTATCTCTGCAAACACCTTAAATTTGAAGAGAATGCAAACAGGATGAACTACTGTAAAATTTAATTCAGTATCAGTTCAACTATGCTAATTTTTGTCAAAATTACTGGGCCGTACTAATTTTTTGTTTGGTTACATTTATTTTAGCCATGCAGTGTAATGGGCCACAGGAGGAATTTGTGCCTGCTAATGAAAGCGTCTTCCAAGGAATTTTCTACTCCCTGCTTTAAAGAATAATTTTATAGTGTTTAGCGTGCTCAGAACATTCATGAAATTTCTGGCTCCAATTAAATGAGCAGAAACTTACTTTCAGGAAGCGTTAGGTGTCATGAGATGACAGTTGACATGTCCCAAGGTTATTTTGGTTAAAAGCATCGAGGTTTCCAAAGAGTTAATTAAAACTGTAAAAATTCTTAACACTAGAACTGGAGATGTCTGGGAGGGGACATACCTCAGTGTAAAGATCTTGGGGTAAGGGACACGTTCTGGATACTGGAGGCAAGGAGCTGGTACAAGTCTTCACTTCAGCTGACGTCATGGGTTTTTCATCACTTGACTTCTGCAACAAATGAGGATATGGCAGGTGAAAAAAATTACATTCGGCTTTCTCTGTGAACAGCTGTTAGAAATTATCCCTTATCAATTTTTGCTGGTCAAAATTTAGTGCTGAAAATTCGGGTATTGATTGCAGAGCTACAATTAAACGTCACTCATGAGTAAGGACCTACCTATCTTTAGAGTTCTAAAATAAGGTATGTAAACAAAAGTTACAGAGTGGTAATATGCAGTAGATAAGGATGCATATGATATTGAAAGAGAGTAAAAATCGGGACTGCAGACCCAGGAAATGACAATCAAGCCAAAACCTTTGACGTTTCAGATTTTGAAAGAGCGCATATTGCATCTATTAAAACTTGATTGGAAGAGAGTGAGTCTGCAATGCATCTGGTTGAGTAAAATGTAATTCTATGCATCTACTTGGTCTACCTCACTCTCTTCCAATCAAAATTTTATATTTTATAAAATTCCTGAGTTTATTCAGTGTTCCAACACCTCTTTTTTCTTTTTTTCCTTGCCCCCCCCCCCTTCTTATGGTACACCCCTAGATCCTTACTAACAAATGTTGCATGGTTGAGAATGAGAAGCCCCCTGCCTTAATTTTGGAAAGGCAGGGGGGAGGAAGGAGGCATGATAAAAAGCTAAAATTTTAAAAATGATATGTCCTCTCAAAAAACTAATTGATTCCTTTAAGTTTCAAACCATAAGTTTAAACAAACAACCAAACCAACACACTCAGCTCTGCTTCTAGTTCTCCTCCTTCTTAAGAGGCCTAACGTAATTTTTATACAGCCGCTTGAATAACATTTTATTCTCTGCGGTAAGATCAGTACAATTTCAAAGTGAAATCCTAATTTTTGAGGATACGAAGGCTCTGTTACTGCAATTGAATTTTTAACAGGAAAGTACTGGAGAGCGAGGGACAACTTAAAGAAGATAACTTTTCCACAACCCTGCCTGCTGCTAGTGACGAGACGTGCATTAGAGGTCTAGCATCATGCACTGTGCAGGGATGAATTTTAGGCGCTTTCACAGACTTCAGTTGGACAGTCTAATAGAAAACACCAAGTTGCAATTTGGAAAAAAATGAGTTGAGGTAGTTTAGCATTCAACTACATAATCATAAATTTTCTCCTCCCAAAAATTCAAGGTTAAGAAAAAATATTTGAACATGAGAACAATTCTTAAACTTTTGTTTGTAGTGGCACATAGTTCAATTTGTCTTTGTTTTATCATTTCAGTGAGGCATCTTTGGTTTTCTTTTTATATTTATAAATCTAGAGAACGCAAGATTGTAGGATCTACAGTAGTATGTCAATATTAAGAAAGATAGACTCGCTGAAGAGAGCTGTTCCTCCACTCAAAAATTAACACCTTCGAGGGGAAAGAAGCTTTTCTTGAGCGCAAAAGCACATTGAGGTAATTTCTATTTTCCGGGAAATGCATTCTTTTAATGTCACTTTCCTCTTTTTCTGTCTTGTGCCCTCTTTAATGATGCACAAAAGCTAGATGAGCTGAAATCAAGACCCCGCAAACGTAAGGAGTAAGTCTCTTCCTCTTTTCTATGGCACTCCTGTTTTGAAAAACAAGCTGATCAGATTTTTTTTTTTTTATTTATGGTAAGCTAAGGCCAAGAAATTGAGCAGAGGTTCAAGCAACATTTACTTTTTTAAAACCACACAGTACTTAACTACTTTACTAGTCTTACTTACTAGTTACTTTCTGATGTCTTTTCCAGTCTTTTTAACTGGTTATGCAAAATTAAAACCGGAAGTTGTGGAATTATTAATCTTACTTGGCTGTTTCTAATAATTGCCCCAGGTATACGAGGGCTGTCCCAAAAGAAACCGGACTTTTGTCATAGATGGCGAACTGAGCGTCGTAATGAAGTTTTCTTGAGCTTGTTTGAAAGCTGATAAGCTACTGGAGATGCTTGTTTTTACAGAATTCAAAAATTCGTCTTGGTAAGGAAACTACACGCTTTGGAATAGAGGAAAGTCAAACTCGAGTTGCGATTTTTGTCTTTATTTCAAGAAAAATTTAGATACAACTTTAAAAAAAACCCAGGTTTTCAGTTAAAAACTTCGTTGCTCTCTTATTCAAATGCTTAAAAATAAGGAAATTAACATTTTAAGCAGCTTACCAAGTCATCACCTATCCCCTTCAAAATACTCGCCAGCTTTGTCGATGCATTTTTGCCACCGTTTCTTCAATTGGGAGAAACAGTGTTGGAAATCCTCAGATTTGAATGATTGCAATTCCTACAAGGTGTTCTCTTGGATTTCTGGAATGGTTTAAAAACGTCGACCTTTCAAGGTAGATCTAAGTCGTGGAACCACGAAAAAATCACACGGAGCCAGGTCAGGTCACCTTGAAGGAATTTCGATGATTCAAACCTGAGGATTTCCAACAGTGTTTCTCCCAGTTGAAGAAACGGTGGAAAAAATGCATCGACAAAGCTGGCAAGTATTTTGAAGGAGATAGGTGATGACTTGGTAAGCTGCTTAAAATGTTAATTTCCTTATTTTTAAGCATTTGAATAAGAGAGCAACGAAGTTTTTAACTTAAAACCTGGGTTTTTTTTAAAGTTGTATCTAAATTTTTCTTGAAATAAAGACAAAAATCGCAACTCGAGTTTGACTTTCCTCTATTCCAAAGCGTGTAGTTTCCTTACCAAGACGAATTTTTGAATTCTGTAAGAACAAGCATCTCCAGTAGCTTATCAGCTTTCAAACAAGCTCAAGAAAACTTCATTACGACGCTCAGTTCGCCTTCTATGACAAAAGTCCAGTTTCTTTTGGGACAGCCCTCGTATTTGGCAGACTGTTCAGATACCAATGGTCACTGCCTGGAGAGTCAATGGTTAGATTATATGATCTAATTGAATTGATCGCCAGGACCAGTGAAAAAATGTACTCTTTTCAAAAAAGTGATGCTGGCACAGGAAAAGATGGGAGCTAACAAAAACATGCAAGAGCATACATACAGACCTCGATTTTAAAGTCCATAGAAAGTTGGCACAAAATAAAGAAAGTTAGTGACACAAGCTAAGCAGCAGGGCTACTGGCAAGAACCCGAAAAACTTAAGTCAAGTGGGAAATCTAGAATTTGATTCCCATTTTCTGAGCATTTCACAGTGCTACTGTGTTCCTTTAAATCACTGTTTTTTAAGTTTTGATCTTGCGAAATTGTGAACTTTTTGCCTTGAAGGAGTTTGACTGAAAGTACACATTACATGCAAGACACACGCAAAGTTAAACCTTCTCTTTTGTCACTTGTATTCCCAGCATGATATAATTACTTTCCCCATGATAAATGGCTGTTTAAAAGAAGGAACAGCATATGTTCCAATGATCTTTTTTAAAATTGCGTAAGTGTGAAAAGTTACGCATAAAAAGAAAAGCTTGGGAGTCCAGTCCAATATTGGTTATTGGGGACACACTAAGACATGGGCAGCACCTTCCGCAATTTGAGATTTTGAATTGAATCCAGGATTGGACTTCTACTCAAAGCTGATTCTTGGCAAGAAAGTTGGTGCGTAGCTTTTCTTAAACCTCATATACTGACCAGAAAAAAACTCCAAACGAAAATAAAGAGTAAACAAATATTAAACGGTCAAAATAATTGTGCCTACAAATTTAATACCTAATCCTGAATGAAATCAACCCTGTGAAGGATCCCCCCTTCCTCATTTTTGTTGATTTCTCTGCAGATCTTTATTCTAAATCAAACTAAGACCATGGAAATGCACAGGAAAGTTTTGAAATAGGGATTGCAGTTGGTTCTCAGCTTTGGTTCTAAGCCCACAGGAATGTTGTTTCTTTGGCTGAGAGAGCCGTTGATCAAAAGCTTGGATTGAAAAAAGGAAAAGCGAGTAAATGGTGTTAGACAGAGATAGAGAGATAAAGTGCTGCACTTGCATGGATAATATGGCTGATAATCTTGTGGAAGATAAAAGAGAAATTAGTTCCCTAATAATTATATGCACCTCTTTCTGGCTTCTGTCATATTCACTCAGAGAGAAATAGATTCAAACTTTCAATTAATCAGGATAAGGGAGAAATAGGAACAGAGAAGAGGTTTTTATGAGGTTTTTTACTCAAAATATTGAACACGGTTCATTCTCCTGAATTGATTTTGAACTTTGCTTTTCTCCTTCACAAAGAGGCCATTCACAATGGATTCCTTGACAGTATAAGCAAGATAAATCTACGATAAGCAACGAAATGGTTGAAATCCGCTGATCATGCACAGAAGCCCGAGAGCAATAAACCACCAGAACAAGAATAAAATTTAGCTTACAGGCCCAGAGGCGTCTTCTTGAACAGCTAGAATCCAACAATCAGACTTATCCGAACGCTTGACTGGCTTGACCTTGATTTTTTTAAACAGTTCGACTTTTTTATCACCGGCGATTTCAAATTTGGACACAAACCCACTGGGCGTTTCAAGATCAACAGGCAACACCTTCAGCTTGTCAACCGTAAAAACAATGAGATCTCCGTAATCAATAAGAAAGACGGTCACTTCAGGTGTCAACTCATGTGTCAGATGCGTGATACGACCTCGACACCAGTCCTGCTCCACTTTCACAGCACAAAGATCGTTGATCTGAGGGTCCGCTAGTGGGAATCCAAGGGATCCCTGATTTAGCATGGACTTCTGCAGAGCTAGCAGCTCAGGTGCTTTAGTAGAAGGATGACCGAAGTAAAAGTTGTTTCGGGCACAAGTGAATATGACCTGGTGGACAGAAGAATGAACTTTCAACAGGTCTAGTCTAAAGGAGGGCAATCGAACTAAAACTTGCAAATGTCAGGGCCAGAAAATCAAGACAATCTAACTTGCTGTATCCATTCTTGCCAAATACATTTGTCATCATCGAATGCTCTATGTTGATATGGAGAAGCTCAGAGGGCATCACAATTTTTTCAAGTGTACCTTTAGACATTCTAGAGAATTCATTTTTGTATAATTCAAGGCCTAGTGAAAATAGAAGCAAAATCAACTCAAAGCAGCGTGTTGATTTGATTTCCTCTTAACAGAGAGAACAATAATAGCTAAAGTAAATGAAAAAGATTTGATTCTCCCCATGACTGATCGTTACATACATTCTCCTTCAGGTTCTATTCCATCAATCTCTGGATATTTCAGATGAGCATTGTTGCTGTAACAGCATGTTTGGCATTGATGCAGTTTAATGGGGCAGATTAGTTTTCCAAAAACACACAAGATCCACTTAAAAGTCATTGAAAGGCAGTAAAATACGGGTCACTTGCAATGGTAATTATAATACATCGAAACAAAAAATTCAATCCTCTATAAAATCTTCCTTCATCAGATTACTTCCCGAGTGAAACAGCTGAAGTAGTAAATGGAAAACAGTGAAGTGGTATTGTATGGGCTGCATGAGCTGAAAACCGACCCCACTTGGTCAATGAACCAGTAAATTTTAAACGCTGCTTAGCGAACCAGGACAGCTGAGGTAAGGATAAAAAGATGACAAGAGAAAATATGTTACCAAAAACCCTTACCTTTCTAGAGCATTTATTTATCCTATTAAGCCCTCCCACATTCATTTCTTCTCTATTAAAGTAATTGATAATATAGCTACCCCGCGGAATCAGAGCACCCACTGAATTCCAAAAATGTTTAGCAGGAGTTGGCAAGGGAAGCAATGAGCACATGAACTTGATTCCCTTAAATGTTTAGAACCGTTGAAACCACATGCTACAATTTGGGGATCTCTGATCAAAATGTATATACCTCTGAGACTGTTTTGGTGTCGATCGGGCAAGTTGCTGACTTGGGCATCCGCAAACTTTTGGATTCCGAACTATTTTGACCGCTGCTAACCTGTGAAGAAATTTACAAGACAGCAATTAGTGGGAAAATGAAAAAATTATGAAACAAGGATGGAATTGAGAGTTACACATTAGAAAATTCCTAGAATGCACAAACCAAACCATGGGTGCAGCAACTTCTGAACCTAGCAACTAGCTGGTCGCATACAAAAATGAGAAAACTGCGAAAACAACTCCTAAGCAAGGGAGGATCTGTTCTTGTCAGCAGGAAAATCAAACATTAAGCACAAGTTTGAAGACACTTGTTCAGACACAGCCATTTTCCTTTGATGCTTTGTTTTTTCAAAAGAAACGTTATCTTCATTCTGACTTAAATTTCGTGAGTGCATTATCAACAAGTCACAGGAACTGTGCAGAAAGTTCCAAAACATTATATTGTTGGGATTGCTACCAAAGAGTGCTAATCACATTTAAGGCCATGTAAAATATCCATACTTTAATCTACGAACTGGCAACCTTGATCATTGGGTTCTCTACCAAAAACATAAAACTTGATGGGACTTCGAGCAATGTCAAAAGCAGTAGGGTTGATTCTGTTTAAATACGTCTAGTCTGCATAGGGAAGATACAGAGATTGAAAAATTAAACACTTTGAAAAATTTGGAGCAAACAAAGATTGGATTGGCTAAAAAATTTCTGCGTCCTTGCACCTGGCCGCCCTATAAACTAAAGATAGGGAGAAACAAATTTCTTCACTTAGTCACGGGTCCTTCTGTAGAAAAGAGATTCTATCTGAATGAGATATCTTAATGAGATATTGTTCAAGATCATAAAGAATTTTAAAATAAAATGGTTCACAGGTTTTCTCGGTAAAATAACGCTTATTTTCATTTTTTGAGTAATGATGTATTCCAAATTTCCAACACAGTTTTCTGGGGGCATAGTTATTAATCACCTTGCATTGTGTTCCTGTTTTCTTCTCCACTTCCTGGTGTTTTTCTTCATGTCTATCCTTACTCTGTGCCTCTACTTCCTTCTCCAGTTTGCAGTATTTTCCTTCATAATGTTTTGCCTCACTCTGTGCTTTTATTTCCTTTTCCAGTTTTCGGTATTTTTCTTCATAATGCTTTTCTTTACTCCATCCTTCTACTTCCTTTTCTAGCTTTTGGTATTTTCCTTCATAATATTTTTCCTTACTTCGTGATTCTATTTCCTTCTCCAGATTTCGATGTTTCTTTTCATAGTGCTTGTCTCTACTCCATGCTACTATTTCTTTCTCCGGTTTTCGGTATTTTTCTTCATAATATTTTGCCTTTCTCTGTGTCTCTATTTCCTTTTCCAGTTTTTGGTATTTATCTTCATATTGATTTTCCTTGCTCAGTTTTCCTACCTCTTTCTCCGGTCTCTGATATTTTTCTTGGTTATGTTTTTCCTTACTCCGAGCTTCCATGTTTTTCTCTAGTCTCTGTGATTCTTCTTCACGATACTTTTCCTTGTTTGGAGCTTTAGTTTTCTTCTCAATTTCCTGGTATTTCTCTCGAGAATTATTATCACTACTTTGTATTTTTTTAATCACTTTCAGTCTCTCACATTTTTCTTCACAGTTTTTTTCCTGGCTCTGAGCTTCTATTTTTTTCAATAGTTTTCTGTATTTTTCTTCCGAGTTTTCCTCTAATCTGATCAGTCTACCTTCCAAATCATCCAATTTAGTGAGTTTTTTCAATATTTCTGCCAAGAGCTTTGGAGTGCTGAATTTTTCCAACAAATCTTCTAGAACTTTCTGAGCTTCTGCCATGACTGGAAGAAGAAGACTTTACCAGTTTTTTAGCAATTCTAACCAATAATCCGCGTTTTCCACTTACATTCCGGCATGAAACTTTACTAGATCTTCTGACCTTGACTTGAACACTACATCAAACCGTAAGGTTTCAATAAAATCCTCGAACTTTCGATTAAGGCGAAGAGAAACACTGACACAGAAATCCAACATCAAAATGAACTCCTCACTATGAGATCTTAAAAATAACAAATATTGGGATTTAAAATATTCGTTCACTGGAGAAAACTTGTGCTGAGGCATGAAAAGAAAAGATAATTAAACTTCAACCTCAGTGGAAAAAAAATAGAGACAGTACTACAATGCCATGGGGGTATCTCTCTTTATCAAGAAACAGTGGTCACTCGACTTCAATACTTTACTTCTCCTCCAATAGAGGGAGAATAATGCTCTTAAACAATGTAGCTAATGCTGCTGACGTCGTTGCATCATTAACTGCTTGAGAGCTTGTAATCTACTTATCAGATCTTGATAGGACCTGGCATCCAACGCTCACAGTTCTCTCTATTTTTGGTCACTTTCTGTCTTCTCATCTGCTTCTTTCTCTGCCAAAAATGCTTGGACCTTGAGCCAAATTCACAAGAGCCATCTTGTTGTGGTTCAACTTGCCAGTATTTCCCAAAATTCAAACAGACAATCTTGAATAAGTCCAGACAAACTACATCTACTAAGACTTCTGTGATTGATCGAGTGTACCTGACCTCAAAAAACACCGGTTGAGTGTGAGGAAAATCACTAAGTTTGTTTTCCCTTTGGTAAAAAAATAAAAGTGGAAATTCAAACGGGAAAAAAATACATATAAAACATCTCATATTCGATGGTTTGAATTCTCTTGAGATTAATGACAGATAAATTTCATACAGTTTCTTGGAAAAAAAAGACGCTAGAAAGAAATACAAAGAAAAAATTAAGACATTGAGAAAAATATATACCGTCTAAAAAACACACAGGAAGTTAGCTCACTTTTTTTTAATAAAAAAATCAGAAACACTATTTACAGAATAGATCATTTCACCTTTTTTACTGAAAGTCTTATGATTCTTTCGAGGAGAAAGTAACTAATAAGAACACTGAAGTTATCAAAGACATTGAATCACGTAGACCGTGCGTTCGGCTCGGTTTAGTACTGGCGGAGCGAGGCAAGTCTCTTGGAGCCCCATGATGGGTGGGCGGGGAAGGGGAGAGAGCGTCACCACGCACTCGAAGAGGCAATGGAGAATTCATGCCTGTGCTCGGTTTTTCACGAATATCTCATTTAGAGTCCATTTTCAGACAAAACTCCTGAGAAGAAAAGTTATATAACACATAATTTTACACCCGATTAGCATTGTTTCATTTTTCCGAACTAATTATTAACCGAGGAAAAAAGCCTCACAAACCGACAAAAATTCACTGGAGCCGCTACTGCGCATGCGCAGATGTGCGCAACTGGGACACACCAACTCATCGATGCGGGTCGGTGCCACCACTCATCACATGCAAATTTTTAAAAGTTGCCTCGCCTTCCGTAACACAGGATGCACGGTCTACGTGATTCAATGTCTTTGGAAGTTATACAAAAGGAGTTAGCAACGACTTACTTCTTGGAAGGTATCCGAGGGGGTTTTCTTGGCAGCTGGTGGCGACCCTTCTTTGGCGACTTCCTTGGAAGCTGTTTTTCTTGAATTATTATTTTCTTTAGTGGTGCTGTTAAGAACCTCAACATTCCACGTTCCGTCATCAAGTCTTGATGTTGGTTTGACTTGTAATTTATCTCCGAACTTCTTATTGAACTGTGCAGAAGATGTTGTTTCAGATAGCTTAATTTTGATTGCAAGTGGTTTACCCTGCAACTCCTGGGGTAATTCTTTTAGCATGGATGGGTTGACTTTTTCTCTGTTACCATAGTCAATAAAAGCTATTGAAACATCTTCTTCAGAATAATCAAGAATCTTCGCTCGGTACCAATTATTGTCCTCTTTAAAAAAAGCCAGGCAATTTAAATCTTTGGAAATTTTTGACAAAGATCTTTGTTGTTCCACAGTGGAAGCAATTTTTTTCATATATTCAAGACTTTTGCGAGCGCCTTCCATGGTATGTACGTAGAAAATGTTTGGAGCCTCAGCTACTTGCACGACAACCTGAAAAAACAAGTAAGAGGAGAAATTAAAAGAGAGTAAAACAATTGAAATACAAGGAGAAATAAAATTTAAAAAAATTGCTGGTTTACTAAGTTGTTCGTGCATTGACCACCTGTGGTCAAGAGGTAATTGATCTAATAGGTTCTTTCGATGCCTTCAGGACACAGATCCATCTATGCTTAAGATCTAGGACACACTTGAGCAGAAAAGAGTATCTGCTATCCATGCAGGTCGTCTTTTATGTAAACAGGACCAAATTTCTAGTTACCGATGATTCCATTGTTAATATGTGACCAATTCAAGGAGAGGAAGCTATTATGTAAAGAGGCGAATGTCTTGAAAGACCACTTGGCGTAAAATTAGGATCTGAATTTTCCATGAAAAACGTTTTCCAGTAGCTCACAGAATCAGGTGCTGACAAGTTATTGTTTCAATGCCAGGAGTTAGCTGAGGATACATACAGCCTAACTGTTTGGGACCCCTGACAGATCAGATTGAAACTTTATACAGCTTTTTCTTGGGACTCCATCACTTGCATGGCAAATTTCCAACTATCATATCTCCTTTTTGGTTTGAAGTTTTAGGACGTAAAAAAGCTCTCCAGGCAACAGTTGGACTTTATATTGCAATAAGGAACAGCTATTTCTGGCGCATTTGGGAAAGAACTTGCATGTCAGTAGTTTTTCTTAGCAAATAGGCATTTCATTCAGGGCTTACGTCCCTCTTCCTGTAACTTTGAAAGTCTTTAATAATACAGTGTTTGCTAACAAGGATTAAAGACTTGCTGAGTAAATTAAATGCTCAAACTCCGCAAAATTTCTTTTCAGGAGCAATAAATCATCAATACAGAGAGTTAAATGTCAAATAAACTTGGGTCAAGAGACCAAAATAAGACTCTTTACTTACTTCAGAATACTCATTTGTAGGTAGAGGACAGGCAGGCTCAGCTGTTGATTTGCCACTGGGTTTAGAGGACTGCATTCCTACCTCAAGTTCTTTTAATTTGTCACTCTGAAAAAGAGGAGAAAAACAACATTATGGTTCCATCTGAAAATAATGAACCATTAAAATCCAAATTTAAAAGCATTCACTGAAATTAAAGCTGAATTTAGATTGACTCCGTTGAATTATTCAAGCACTATTTCTCCTTCGAGAAAAATCAAGAGGCTTTATGTTGGAGGACTGATGAAATTTCATCATTTTATTAGATTGATTAAATGCCATATACGAGTTTCTGCGGGTGGATTGGGTCAACTTTTCAGACCAGATCAGTAGGATTGCAACTTAATGAAGAAAAACACTCTGCTGAAGTCAGGAACTATACTCTGTCCAGCGAGTTATGGCACTTGGTACATTGGAATAAAAGGCACAATGTGGTGGCGGCACAGCCACTCTCAATCTTGTCACCTGTCAACACTGCTGGCTTTTCCCCTTCACACAGTGGATAGTATTGATCACCAATCAAAGGTCTATATCTTAAGAATCTTTGATCATCGCCTGTAGAAGAGCTCAAGTTAAGATTAAGAGCATCATATGAAAGCTTAATACACCTAAAAGAGATTCAGTCAACCTTCAACTCATTTGTTCCTAAAATACAGCCTGTAACACAATACTGCCGTTCCGTGGTCCATTATGCGATGAGAGACTGAGTCAGTGCATTAACAGACAACAAAAATGGTAGCGGCTAGCCGCCACCACATTGTCCCTTTTCATCCAATGAACAAAGTGCCATAACTTGCTGGACAGAGTATAAACTCAGTTGCTTGATGAATTTTGAGAACGTTTGCATCCATTCTTTTTTTGACCCACCTCACAAGGTAGCCCGAGATTTGAGAACGTGGTCGTCATCCCTGCTAGCATGAAAACCTTATGTTGAGGGTGCACTGTTGCCTAAAGGGAATTTTGTTGTGGAGTAATGGAGTTTAACAGTAAGTCAAAAACTTAACAAAATCCTCTCATGGTTTGTCTCACATTGCACACTCAGTTTTGTTTAACTGTAATTAAAGTTCATATTTTTTCAGAGATTTCCAAGAAGGAACACGGGGAAGGGTAAAAGAGAGCCTACCAAGCATGAAAATCATTCTAGTAGCTAGAAATTAAAATTTCCGACTGCCAATACTGTGAAGAGCGGACACTCTCGGGGCTTATACCCCTCAATTCCTCATGTTTAGCATGGTTTATACCTAGTTTGAATTCAGAGTTTTCAAAATATACTTTCAGAAATAGAGAGTTGAAATGGACAGAGTCAACCGGAATTAGACTAACTACATCAAGCAGTGCCTAATTTTCTTTGCTTGTTATTCTGATTCTTATTATTTTAACAGAAAACTAGGCAACACTGAAACTTGAAATTTTGTGAGTATATTCTCCATAATGTGTGGTAGTTTGACAGAGAGTGTAAGGGCAATGAGTGGCTTGGTTTTCAGTGAGAGAAATAAAACACAAGAATTATACATATGCGGCAATTAAGGCAATTATAAAATGCATTAGGGTTAATTTAAATTAAATCTGGCCAGCATGCTTCAACACTGTTGTTTTCTGTTTCTTTCAATATGGTAATAGTGATCCGTTTTGTTCTTTAAGTTAAGGGCTAAAGGTTTTTTCTAATAAGTTAAAAGTGAAACTAGTGTTGTTGCAAAATTGGTTTGATATTTAATCACTTCCAGAGTGGAATCATACTAGGATTTTAGACAAGAATATCATTATCATTATTGATGCTTTTCTAAGGAACATACCACAGTTGGTAACACACTATTGCCTGGATCATCATGACTGTGCCTTTTTTCCTTCGCTTCCACAAGCCAGATTCCGCCGTCCCTCTTTTCAACAAGGCGAACATCTAAAGTCTCGTTATTCTTCGTAAATTTTGCTTCTTTTGGTGACTCATCCAATAGTCTGATCTTGAAAGCAAGAGGTTTCACTGAAGCCAATTGACTGGGAAGTTCTTTTAATTCAGCCTTTTGGCAAATCTAAAAATCATACAAATTTTTGAATTAACAGCAAAGATAAAAGCGAAAGAACAAAATTTTCAGGCTTGAGAACATCCTTTTAAAGGGCTTGCAACGAAGGGGTACGAGCAAAACGGGCCATTACACGCTCGTGTCGGATACCATTGAAACTTGCCCTATTCATTCATCTAACAATGCCCCATGTTTTCCCAAAGTTTCAAGTCCCCAAAAAATTTTTGGGGGAAGTGGCGAGGGGTCAAAGTTGAAAATCCGCTAGATTTTCGCAAATTTTTTACTCGAAAACCGCGAAATATTTCGAAACGCGGTTTCAACGAGCGTTTTTAGCGTGAAAAGAGCTTTCAGAAAATGTATAATACCATAGGGTTTTGTCGACTTAAACTCGAGTTATCGCCTCCGAAGCGCCGGAACGCTATAAAATGACCCGCTTTTTTGTCACGTTCGGGCCGATCCCCAAAATACTCCATTTTTAATTTCTTTGAAAAGCTGATATGTTGTTCCTGACTCTCTATGGCACCTATATGTCTTTACTGTATCCTGGGAAAACGCTTTGTTCGCGAGTTATAAGCGCGGAAAGGAGCGAAGGTCGGGAAAATCGGCTATTTTAAACTGCGCGCGGCGACGGATCAGGAGACATGTGGCAACAATGCGAGGTCGGACAATGAGAGGAGGGTGATTCGCCAAACCGAGGAGGGGGAGCAAATTTTTTGGGGACTTGAAACTTTGGGAAAACATGGGGCATTGTTAGATGAATGAATAGGGCAAGTTTCAATGGTATCCGACACGAGCGTGAAATGGCCCGTTTTGCACGTACCCCTTTACAAAAAGGCTACCTTCTTCACTACCTTGAGACTTGGTCTTCAATTAGAGAAAAAAAGGTTTTGACAAAAATGTAAATAACAAGTCCCTTACATGGTTGTCCTCTTAACCACTTAGTTGATAATTTGTTTCACCCTTAGCCTACAGTATCCAACGTCCGTAATGCTTTGATACTAAGTTGTCAATCTCAAACTTGTCAAATTTTGTACAGAAAAAATAATGAACAGAACCATTAGCAAATTTTACTTCATACTTCTTTTAGAATGAACCGAAACGCAAGAAATCGAACAGCTGAAACTTGATAAAATGGAATATACTCGGAAATTGAAAGCCCCTGAGGCAGGCTTCTGTTAAGTTCATCATTAAAGTCCTATAGATTCGCGCTTTTTCACAGAAATTCTACACACTTTTTACTTACTTACATACTAATCTTTCAAATCCGTAAAGAAGTGCCAAATTTGTCTTGTAAAATCTGGTACACTGATGTATTATGCAAATAATATGATAAAATCAATGTATCTTGTGTTGAAAAATTGGTGTAACACTACAGATATTTAACAACTTCTAGTTTATAATGTCTTTTTTACATCCTTCCATATTTTATATTAATGATGCATTGTTAAAATTTCTTAATATTTTTTAATGATATGATCTCTTCATTATTTAATAATTTCATTACTTAGCACAAAAAACGGGTGGCAACCCAAAACACATCTGTTATGAATAAATAACAATCATGGCAAAAGATTGGTGTTATGTGTGCATTTCAATCCTCTCAAAGAATTACTGACGAATTGAATACCAACCTCGAGATTTCCGTAATCTATAAAACCAACGGTGACTTCTTCCTTGTTGATTTTTTTAACATGAGCACGGTACCATAGCTTGTCATCTTTGTATTGTGCTAAACACTTTGCGCCTACTATAACTTCTTTCAGTGGAGGAGCTTCATCACTGATGTTACTGATTTCTGATGTTAGCTTGCAGATTTTATTTGCATCAGCAGTAGATTGTACAAAAAAAAATCCAGGAGAAATTCTATGGCTCACAAAAACCTAGAGCAAGAAAGAAGGAAGTAGAAAAAGAGAGTATTAATTAATGATTTTCAATTTTATATTGGTACAAAATTAAACTTAACACTTGCATGCTGACTCTTAATTTATAGAACTGTTGAACAGGCAAGCTTGCAACTATGTTCGACAGAGAGTTCAGTGGTAAAATGATGCCCTGTCCTTTGTAGGCATGTTCCTGAACTATTTAAGATCCTTTGCTCAGTTTTTGCTATTAGAAGTTGCTGATGGGTCTTTTTCGCAGGTGTGAAAGATTGCCTCTCAATAAATGAAGTTCCTTTACTAGTTGCGCCTGAGTTTTAGTATGCGAATGCCGGTGAATTGACCTCGAAAAGGAATTTGAGGGCTAAGAGGAAGGCAAACGTGCACTCATGATGAGGGTTCAGACTGCAAAATTATTCAACAAAAAATGAGAACTACCAGATCAATTGAGAAAACTAATTTCATTCTAAATGCGATCAGATACAAAATGTGTAAGTTGGAAATTTAAAAGGATACCTACATATATTTGTCCATTCATCTATTCCATCATAGCAAGATATTTACACCCTAGCGTCATCCAAGATTTTACAACGGAAGGTTGAGGAAATTATTTCCATGGGCCAAACTGAGTTTTTCATAAACCTTGAGAGTAGTTTTTAAACCTGTTTTTTTTTTTTTTTTTCTTTTTTTTATGTTTGTGACTCCAAAAAAGAGAAACATGCTATCACATAAGCTGCAATTTTGCTACACATCACTTCCTAAAAAGACCACATTTTGTCCTTAAAAATGGATCACTGGAAAGAGAATGAAATTGAGCACCACAATACTTGTTCCCTTGCTAAAATTGTACGTAGAATACAACGAATACATTGAAACTCTCCAAATTCAGTTGATAAGTGAATCAATGGCTTTTTTGTGCATGTTACTTGACACTTCACGCTCCTAAAAAACCAGAGTCAAACGACTAACTGATTTCAGTTACTTTTGAATGGAAGGATTTTTCTGTGTACTGATTTGTCTTTGGCAAGATTAGAGGTGCCTTGTATTAAAGGCGGAAGGAAATGAGTGTGAAACCATGTTCTAGTCATTTGTTCAACAGCTTGTTTTTTGATGGTGGATTTGACCCTTGTTGACTATGATTTTTGACAAGGAGGAAGTTTGAATTCATTATTTTCAGTGTAAACTATGAATGAGGATTATTCACTCACAACTGAATTTAGGAAGTTTTCCATATTTTCAAACTTGTTTTATGAGAAATTTGGATGAGGATGCATTTTTTATCGATAGGTGGCTTTTGCCCTGTCTTATAGTCCATTGTAAATATATTGTACTCCACAATTAATAGAGATAGGCAGTAGTCCATATGACCCTCCCTTGAAGCTGCCACTACTACGGAAAGATACATAAAGAGTAATTTCCCCTTCCAAGACGATTGCAAAATGAAAACCAATTCAAGTACACATACCTTGGTAAAAGTTCCGGAGGATAACTTGGCGGATGTTGATGCCTGCAGCAAATAACAAAGGGGGGAATGAAAATCACAAATTAAACAGAAAATTTTCTGACTTATATTATCTTGGTACACAAAATAATTCAATTAAAACTCGCAGGAATTAACAGAGAGTTACAGCAAAATAATTTGGCTGTTTCGAGGAGCCAATTCACAGCTTCAGAGCAAAATTACACTACTTCCTTGGTAATTTTGATACTATCAGACCACACTTATAGGTCATTGATCACTCTGATTGTCGACTTTTGTAATATTTGCTAATTTTCGTCCTTGAAAAAGTCATTTTAAATTATTCATATTAATATTCGTAGTTGTGAATAATTAACTTTAATTATTGTCTATTTGCTTTGTATTCTAAAATAATTGACAAAATTATTCGCTATTCGCTTTGTTTGCAATATCCACTATTCAAGTCCAACAGACTGTATTCATTTTTGTAACAATTCTTGATATTTCACTGATAGATACGGTTACCAGCTATATAGTAGGTTTGAAGGTTATTTTTGAAGCATTCATTTTGTATTAAAAATGCATTGAATGGCGGTTTGACTGAATATTGACTACCAAGAAAATAAAAAAAAACTTTACCGTTGATGAATCAGCATGAGGTTTTTCAGAGTGTTTGTGTGACGTGGTATCTCCACAGGTTCCATGCTTCTGTTGGCCAAATTTTTGGGATCTGAAAGAAGACAGAAAAAAATAGATAAATCAAAGAATTTTTTACAGACTTTAAGTTTACAGGGGAGGTTATAAACGCAGTAAAAACCACAATACTGAGCAATTTTTTTGCTTTTTCATGTACTTGATGCTTTAATAAAAAGCATGAGATATAATAAGGAAAATCAACAGAATTAATTCTTTAATTCTATCATAATTAGGAGAGAGAGGAGGGGTGGGAGTAAGAATCGATATTCGATATCGATATTCACTCCAAGGTTTCCAGATCCATTGGCCTTGCAAGCTTAACAGGGTGTCTACACGATTTTCAAAATGAAATTCCCTGACAATTCCAGGTTTTCCATGACAAAAAATAACAAAATTCCCTGACTTTTTGGGTTTAGCCATACGATGAACTAGTTAGAAAATATTAAAAAAAAACTATCCTTAGGAATAACCCCGTAAAGTCATATTCTGAATTACCATGGCGTTGGGAGGAGTTGAGTAATACTTTTGAAAGGAACGAGATCCTAAATACTCAAAATAAAGCTAATTCCAAAATGGTATACTCAAACTAAAATTCACCTTCAAAATTTAATTTTTAAGCTCTACTACGCTCTCTTTGTGACACATTGCCCCGTATACTTTTGAAAATTCAAACTTTAGTTCACCCTGGTGATTCCATAAATATTGGCATATTACTTAGTGCCCTGAAAATACAAGTTTCTTTTTCTTAAAATAGAAAACAAGAGTTGTAAATGTGCCTAACTCAGGTAGATTTTGCTATAATCAAGAGGAAATACGAGTCTCTTCTCGATTTTAGATAAATTTGCTTGATTCGGGATTTTTTTTTTTTTTTTTTAGGTCAATTAATTCAATGGATTCCAGAACCTATTGTTGGTATTGAATTTGTCTTATACTCAACAAGCATTGGCTTGTTAGAATATAATCCACCAATAATATTTCTACAAGGTGGATGCACCAGTTGTGAACATGTTGATTTAAGAACCAGAAAAATTTCATGCAAAATGCGGTTGACATTAAATATTTCTTTACTCAGTTAAAGAAAAACTAAAATTCTAGCCTTTTCATTAAATTTCCTAACTTATTGAAAAAATTGATTAACCATCTACTCAAAACTAGGGCACTTAGTTTCCTATCATTATTTACTGTAATTTTCTGCTGTTAGCAAGTTAACTTCATTCAAGTCTATTTGGTCTATCTTGCCATTTAGCATGAATTAAGTAGATAAATTAAATAGGGTAGATCGATTCGATCTTTAAAGTTAGGGAACACACATTAGTGAACCTAGCGGCCGTGTTGCAAACTGGTTGAACAGAGCAGTTTACATTATCAGCCACGCAAGCGAGCTACTCGGCCAATTCGGCAGTGACGAGCAAAAATAGCCGCGAAATGTTCGAATTGCGAAAATTCCCTGACTTTCACCGGTTTTCGATCAAATTCCCTGACTTTTCCCAGTTTTCCAGACAGTGATCAAATTCCCTGATTTTTCCCGGTTTTCCCGGTTTTCCAGACCTGCAGACACCCTGCTTAATTTTCGGGGCTTGTAATGATTTTCCATCGCAGAGTATGAAATTTCGGCTGGAGCAAAGATGAAACAGGGATCAGGGCTGCACTTATTTATTCTTACTGCCATTGGCAGCTGTCCCTCTTTTAGGTGCCATAATCTGATTTAAAAGTGAATTAAACACATGCTGCTCAATGCAGTTATGTTACACACAAGAACTGGGGTGGGAAATTTTTCGAAAAAAGTCCTTCAAAACAGCTCAGGTATTCAAGAACTGGTACAAAAAATTTCCTTTAGAAGCAACCAAGGTTACATATCGAGGGCTGAATAACAATAGCACTGAACTGACAATTTTGGCAAAAAAGAATTAGCGACTTTACAACATTTTACAGTATAAAATATGCAAGCTGATGATTTTCGTTTTTTTCCAATTCTGTAGGGGAGGACTTCAGTGACACTGTAATGTATGAAAATAATGCAAATCTAACCTTAAAATTACAAGGATACTGAAGTTTTTTTTTTCATTCAGCAAATTCGTCAGTTTGCAGATAAGCGGTATTATTCGTTGGCCATTGATATACTGCTCTAGCAAAAAAAAAAAAATGACAGGGTGAACTTTTCAATGTAAGGGCATCAGAAATAAGCGTATTTGCGGTTTGTCTTATCACCCCTTCAGATTAGGGTGTACACTAATTATAATTAGAAGAGTTACTTCTGATTTTTATTTCGATTTTATTCAACTCACTTTAATTCAGGCTGCGGCTTAAGTGCTTTTTCACACTTTGGATGACAGCTGAGCAAAATTGATGAATGGGGGGGGGGAGGGGGATGATTGCCCGTTTGATGCATTGGGCAATTATGCGGTCATCTTGTAACAGTTACACTGCTGGTAAGAATTGATCTATTAATGTGCCTGCAACTTCATCTCTTGATGCAAAATCTTCAGCTGATACGAACAGAGGATTCAAAATTTGGACTGACAAGTACACACAGAATTTTACCTATGCAAATTTATAGCAAAAATATAAGTTGAAAGGTTACCTCATAGAGACTTCTCCATTGACCATGCTACTACCATCACCATTGATCTCAATTTTTCTGGAAGAGATATTGAGAATGTCCTCTTCTGTTTCATTAACTGGCTCTGGGAAAGCTGCTGCTGCCGCCTCCATCCCCTTTCTCGGTCCCCTGGAGTCTCTCTTCTCAGACCCTCCTCGACTCTTCGGCCTGTCCCATTCACCGTCCTTTTTCCCAAATGCCGCTCGGCTATTAGTTCTATCAGCGCGGCCGTCTTTCCGATACGCAGACGCGTGCTGACTAGATCTCTCATCATTATTGTCGTCCTTCTGTGAAGGCATTCTGCTTCTAGATTTCTCCGGGGCATTGTCTTTTTTTTCATTTGAAAAATTACTTTGTCTAGTGCCATTAAAGTTAGAGGCACCGTCATCTTGCCTTTTTTGTTTTCCTCTGTCACCATCTGACTTCCTTCTAGCTCCGTCCAAATTATTGGAGGAAGGTTCTTGATTTGGCCTTCTATTTGACTTCCTGTCCTTGTTAGAGTCATCAACAATTTCAACAGTCTGATCGTCTTGCCTCTTCCGTTGTAAACGCTCGTTGACAGAGCTCTTTGGACCTCGATTATTGGTCCAGTCTTCACTTGCCTCTTTCTTCAGTCCAGTGCCTCTAAAATGGCTAGAGCTTCCGCCTGATGAACATTCTGGTCCTTGTTGTTTACTATATTTGTCATAATTTTGTGACTTGGCATCTTTTGATGAATCTTTGAAGGACCCGGCAGCTACGCTTTTTGGCCTGATGGATTTATCAGCGTCCTCCTTGTACTCATAACCTTTTTTTTGGTCAACATTTTCATCTGAACTATCTGGCCGCTCTCTGGCTGAACTTTTGCCTTTGAGCCGACTTCCATCGCGAGAATCACTTTGTTTCTGCCTTTGATTGGTCTTAGTCGGTGAAGCCCTTCCTTTACTGAAATCTGTGTTTCCTTGTGAAAAAGATTCGTTTGAAGACGTTTCATGACTCCATGAGTTTCGGTTTCTATAAGAATCATTTCTGACACCAACAGCCCTGGAAGGAGCTCGGAAGTCAACATGTGAATCACCATAAGAATCATTCCTGAAACCAACTGCCCTGGAAGGAGCTCGGAAGTCACCATGTGAATCATAATACTCATTTTGGTTGCTTGCATAATGTGGAGGCGCGTCTTCAAAGCGGTCATTCCTTGAGTAATTTTGGGGAGGTGGTCCTCCTTTCCCAAAACTGTTTCTTGGAGGGGGTCCACGATTTGAAAGAGGCTCTCTATAATTATCATAATTGGATGCTTGAGTTCCATAATCGTTATAGTAGGGAGAGGGTCCACAATAATCGTTCTGATAGGGATCATAAGGAGGGTTTCCTGGTGGATACGGCCCTGGGCCGTAATCGTTAAATGGTGGCCCATTGTTTCTGTACAGAGGTGCTCCTCTTCCCCTTCCTCGTCCGGTGGAGCCATAGTCTGAGTAGGGTCTTGCAGATCTAGGTCCTCCATATTCATATTCATTTATATTGGGAAGCATACCTCCCCTTCCGAATGGCCGATTGTAGTTGTAATTACTGTCTGGGGAAAACATGGCGCCTCTTCCAAAAGACTGCTTGTAGTCATTGTTAAATGGACCTCGCGCGGAATTAAACTGCCCTCCATTTCTTGGTGGATAAGGGTTTTGCTCATATCGATTGTCCATTTGTGAGGGCGGACGCTGGAAAACAAAACAAAATATTAAAGGATAAATAAAAAACGCCCACGAGGGAATTTATGAGTTGGCGGAACATTTTACAAGATCTTTGTAAGTTGGAGACCAAAAAATTTAATAACTAGGTGGATTTTCTGAGTTAACCAATTTTAGGTTATGAATGATGACGAAAAATTGGGATAAAGACTGCTTGAATTTTTGGCGCCAGATTTTCGAAGAATATTGCTGGAAGACCGAAGGAAAAATTGAATGAAATTTTGAACCAAAACAATGATGAGGTCTGCTTCAGGAGCGTAAAAATTGACAAGAGCTTCGCAACATCAAAAACTGGGATAGATGGTTTGATACTCTTGACATTGACTTATTACTTACATATTGATGAAGCGGCATCCACGAATGCTAGCAATAAGAAATTTATTTTCATTTAATTCAATCAACAGGTGCTTCAAATAAGGATTCACTGAAGAGTAGCATATGAGCAACAAGAAGCTTAACATGATTATCAAAAGCTTGAGTGATAAGCAGGGGTGCGGAGAGATTTGTACCTTCACATTTTCTGAGGCTGCATTCACAATGTTATTCACAAAAGACTACTTTTCCCTTAGATTTTTTGAAGCAGCCTTACCATTGCATGTTTTTATAAACTATTTAGATTTAAATAATCAACAAATCTGGATCAATTGAAATTAAAATCACAGGGGTGGTAAGTATAACGGAGGTATTTATGTTTTTTGAATGAAAATTTCTAACTACAGTGAACACTTAAGACTGCCCACTCCACTATTTTCTTTGCATAGAGAGAGCACATTACACACCTTCCTTCGCAAAAAGTAATATGTTCAGTAGTTTCCTTATCAAAAAATGACAAATTTGATAATTCCCTTTACAAAAATTATCGCACTCTTAAGAAGCAATAATAAAACAGTTTCAAAAAGAGGAATCTTGAATGCCTTCTGCCTTCACATTTGCTTCCCTTTTCCAGGTGCCCTCACATTTCCCCTGCAATCAGCCAATAATGCACTACCTGCACCCTTTAGGATGAGTAGAACAACACAGGTAGACAGAAATAGGTTTGATTGAAACTGAAAAATCTGAATCAAAAGTAATCGAGCCAAGAGATCGAGGGTTTGAACAAAATACATGATGATACCCCAAATTTTATTCCTGAAGAGCTCTCAATTTTCACTGCCAGGAGGAAACTGCACAACTGCAGACAAATCAGAATGAATTCAGTCCCCTCCCTCAATAGAGTTATTACAATTCAAGATTTGAAAACTCACCTCGTTCCTGCCAAATCTTCCGAGTGGACCTCTCCCACTTTCAAAACTTGTGTCACTTCCAAATGGTTGATAGTCTTCCTCATAACTGGGTCTGGTAAAGTCAATTCTGCAGAATTAGGACAAAAAAATTCCTTAAATCATTACTCTATTTAAAAGTACCGTACCAGCTCACTCTGCCCCCCCTAGACAAAAATTGGACGAAGCGATTTCTTTTAACCCATTGACTTAAACTGACGGCTCCCAGCCGTCCGTCGATTGTTGGCGTTATTGCGGCAATTCTTCGGTAGATCGCGTTCTCATCAATGTTTATACGTCTACTAACTCACTTTTACACAACTATGCGACTTAATCAGATTGTCTTCTTACTACCAGTCCACATTTTGATCTTCTGAACTGGAATTCCAGGGAGCTACGTTCCTTTCAATGCTACATTATATTAAGCTCACACATGAGGGCCTTGCACTTTCCTCACGAGACTGCCATTGCCTTGAAGTCATTCTATGCCGAATCAGATCAAAAGAGCAACTTTTGAGTCCTGACCCTTTTAAAACTGGATAAAATCTTGTATACTCATTCTGCATATGTAAATGTATCTAGCTGTATCAAGTCATATTTTATTTTTCCAGTTTAGAAAAAAAAAAAAAAAAAAAAAAAAAAAAAAAATGACACATTTTCTGGGAGGTTAGTATCTTTGCGGGGCCATACTTTAGGCACTTTTCATTCTTTAGTGAGTATTCTTCAACCATTTGAAAGTTATATAAGTCTAAGCTATCTTCTCTAAATGGCAGAACTCTCCTGGATAAAGAAGCTTCAAGGATGCTGTTGTACTAGGCCTCCGCAATTGTCTGCAACGCGCTGCGCTTTCGCAAAATTGTAAACACAACTCACTGATAAAAGTTTCTTAAATTTTTTGATAATGGACCACTAGACAAGGTACAGATTTAAGCGATCTGATGCATGTTTCTGAACCAGAATTTTATGTAGAAAACGATTCACACAACGAAAATTACTGGAACCAATACCTAACGAAGATATTAACGCTTTTATTTCACATTGGTTATGAGGAATTTGAACCGCCCGCTCACAAGAAACTCAAAGCTCTACGTGAGTCAAATCGCCCACCACAACGGTCTCAGTAAGCTTCTCAATCGAGCAATGTTCATTTCCCACCATGTGTTGTTCAAACTATTAGCAATTTGCTATAACTGAGCCAAAGCGTCAAGATTGAGGTTGCCAGATTTTTATATCACAGAGACTGTCATGATAACGTTTAGCGCGCGATGTGAATCGCGTAGAGCATTGAGTTTTCATGAGCGGGTGGTTTGAATTCACGCATCAAGAATCATTAAATATCTTCGTAAGGAGTTAATATCGGTAATTTTCGTTGTGTGCATCGTGTTTTATGAGAAATTTTTTGGTTAAGAAACATGTATCAGAATGCTGAAATTCGTTCCTTATCTAGTGGTCCATTTTAGGGTGCATGCCAAAATAGCATTATTCCACAAAAGTTGAAATCTGAAAACCTTCAAAGAAAAAAAAAGGAGACAATTTTTCCACAATTTGGTCGCAGTAAGCGGTCAAGAACAATTTGCATCCCTGCTCGGAACTTGTTTTAAATGACTGCCAGTTATGTACTTAATGAAGAGCACTGTCTCGCTCCTCATAAAGTATGAATTTATGGCCTCCATGCACAACAAAACAATTGAAATTTTGTCATTTTAACAGCTTTGACTTTCTATTCTACTTTCAAATTTGCTGAACAGGTGCTCAGTGATCTGTAAAAATCCACATGATAATTTTAAAACGTAGTTGTTTGATAAATATACATTATAGGATTGAATTTTTTTCCCCTTTTTTAAAAAAACCTTAATTTGTGCATCTTATTTACAAACTTCAGGTCCATGAATAACATGAAGAGCTTTCAAATAATATGTGACCTATGACTTTAAACGAGTTTCTGAAATGAAGAAATTCAGAGGTGCTGACCTCCCAGAAAATAGGGCAATTTTCCCCATTTTCAGAATTGATCAAATTTGAAGTCAAATTAAATAATAATAAAAAAAAATGACCATGCTTGATACAAAGAATGAGTGAACCAAATTTCGTCAAATTCTGAAACAGTAGGTCAACACCTTGGCTTGATTTGGCATGGGCTGACCTTCGGCTATTAATGCGGAGTGAGTAGATATGAATTTGAGAAATAAATGCAATTTGATACTTGAGGAATCCCATGATTAAAATAAAAAAGAAACAAGAACCCACAATTAATCTTGCGTACTAACACTGTTTTGAGAGGGTGTATCAAGGAATATAATACTTAAGTTTTTAGACTTACACTGAGGACTCTTGCGACCCATGACCATAAAATGCCCTCCGGACACCAGTTTCATAATTTACACTGATTGATCGTGGAATATCCATATTAGGGTTAATATTTTCTTGGGAGTGTTGTTTAGTGCTGAGATCTTTAAAATTGGACTTGCCTCTGCAAAAGTAAATAAATAAATTGGAATAAAAAAAACTGATAAAACTATTTCATCAGCTTTTATGGCAGGAAAACAATACAGCCTGCAAACCACATTAGAATGAAGCACAATACCAACATGGTCTGACCTTCAACCTTGACATCAAATCTTCAAAGGGTTTTTTTTTTCCATTGTTGGTTTACTGGCTTTAATCCCTTTTTGAAAGAGGTTCTTTTATTGGATTTCTCATCTCAAGATTGTGCCTTAACATCTAAGCTGCTTGAGAAAAGTTGCTTGAATGGTAACTTGAGGTTACCACTTAACTGTACATCAACAGTAGTTACGCTGGTCACCAAATCTTGTTCTAATACTTTATTCTTGTAGAAGAGCTAAAAGTAATAAGATATACCCAAACAGCAACTTTCCATGTTCAATATTAACCAAGATATCGCTCTTTGAAAAACACAATCTTTGACGTTATCCACCGCAGTAGTGGTAAAAATCAAACTACATATTTACATTGTAAGTCCTTTGATAGGTAATATTTCCAGATTTCAAAGTTCATTTACTTTGGGAAACTTAAACTTAATTATTTTTGTTTTTTAAATTATTGGTTGAGCTGCACTGATCTAGTCAATAAACCAGTGCTGCAATTCACAGTCACTAGGCTTTTCCAGTTGCACAGGATTTTTTCGGACCTGATTTTTAATATGATTATTCTAACCTGCTCTCAGGCAGACTTGTTAGAGACAGTGAAAGAAACTTGAGTGTTTAAGTCAATAACCTCAGGAATCAATAATGCTGTTGTTATTAGCAAGAAAGCTGTACCACTACCAGGGTTGCCAGCCAAATTATTTTTTTCCATTCCCTGACTTTTCCCTGACTTTCCAATATTTTTCCCTGACTTTTAAGTATGGATCTGACGCAGTCTGTTAAAGTGAAATTGATCCAATTGATCCCGCAACGCGAGCCCGAGACCGCCCGCGCCTAATTCCACGAAAAATCAGAAAAATTCCTGACCAACACGGAAATTCCCTGACTTTCCCTGACTTTTCCCAGTTGATTTTTTTTCCCTGACTTTTCCCGGTTTTCCCGGTCGCTGGCAACCCTGCACTACTGTAAATTTTACAACATTTTGAGTGACAAAACGCACTTTGATCGGAGATCTAGCAAAGACTCATCACTAATACTTCCAGGATGACTGTTCAGTCTTTGAGACTCATACTCAAAGAGTGTACACGAGATGTAAAGGGTATCATTAGAAGAAAATTTTGCTTAAAAAAAGAAAAAGAGAGAAAAAAAGAAGAAGAAAAAGAGAGATGAAGAAAAGAGAAAGAGAAAGTAGTTATAATCTGCAGCAAAGATACAAAGTTCCTGCTGAGAATAGAGGAGTAATACAGTGTGATTTGGCTTGAGATATCACTCACCTTGCACTATCATGCTGAGTGAAGGAAGTCTTCTTGCCTCTGAAAGGCTCTGAAAATTCCCAATAGCCGGGCGGTTGCTTACTTAAATCTTTTCTAGCTTGATTTATTGCACTGAAAAAAAAAAAAAAGTCAGGAACAAACTGATTTAGTGGTTACATCATTCAATATAATATTGAACCCTTGGTTAAAAACGTAAACAAACACAGAACTTTGTTTCTGATTTACGCCCCTTGCGCCATGGTGGTAAAATACGTCCAAGTGTTTCTTACAATCAGAATTTTGCGTATTTAATGAGTCTTCAGTTGATTTATGACCAATCAACGACTAAATTTCAATGAATAAACACAAAAACCTCATGAAGAATTCGTACATGAGGTTAGATTAGTCTGTTTAGTTTGAACCAAGAGTTTGATATTATATCAAATGACATAACGGCTAAATCAGTCTATAGAGTGCAGCTTAAAATTGGTATTTATTGATGACTGCAGAAAGAGTGTGATGACTCATGACTGTTAGAACAATAATGATTAGAAATTGAGGTAATTACATTCCTAATGAACTGAAATTGAAAAATAACTTTCACATAAATAGTCAAAATTTATCCTCCTGTCTAGTGGGGGTGAGATGTTTACTGAATCAGATACTAATAATCAGAGAATTATTTAATACAGTCGAGGATTCTAGATAGTGGTAGCCACCCCGGCCCAATCCTAAAAAACTCCCCCTAAAAAATGACGAGACCAAATGAATATATTTTACCTAAAAAGCATCACAGCAAATATGCAACTCGTAACAAAAACAGAATAAATGGGACAGAATTTTGGAACAAATTTGGTTTCAAAATGTAAAAAGTATGTAATTAAATCATCTAATGAGCTGAACTATTGGTAGGTAAAGATAGAGTTTGAAGATTGTTAAATTATTGAAAATAGTTGTGGTGGAGCCTAAAAGTTGAAACTAAAAGGCACCTGCTAGATTTCACTATATTTAAAAATGATGCTCTATGAGATTTTCAGAGCTCAAAAACAGTAAAAAAAGGAACTTCCTAGGTTTCAACGCTGGAGAGAATTGGGTCAAAGAAATGAACTTTCATGAACTTCTAAACTAGTTTGCCGATAGAAATTCAGCAGAGCAGGGGTGCAGAAAAATTTTTTGCTTTCACATTGTTTGAGGCAGCCTACATATGCTTTAAGGCAGCCTACATATGCTTTGAGGCTGCCTTCATTTTGTAGCTCATATAAGACTGCACATTTCACAATTTTTTCTGCATAAAACACAATTCACAGTTTATTTTGCTAAAAGTAATGCACATGGCAATTCCCTTCTGAAAAAATAATGTACTCAGTAGTGTCAATCAAAAGAGGTAGTGCTGCCTTCATTTTTTTCCCTCCTTTTCAGGTGCCTTCACATTTCAAAAACCCTTTTTTGGTGGCTTTCAAATTTCTATTACCGGACCGGTCACAGAAGTTTTGCACCCCCTTGAGCAGAGTTATCTCAATGTTTCTCTAGATAGATTTTCACTTTCAGTGACTTAAATTACAAGGCTCCATTTATAAAACAGAAATTACTCTTGTGAGTGTCTCGGTTTAAAATTTTTTGTTCTGAACAGAAAGGAAGTTACTCTTTCAGTAATGGGGTAGCATCACATTCCTAAACTTTGTACAGGAATAATTAGATGAAAATACATACATGGCTGTAAAGTCCATATTTTCTGCCACAACTACCCACATAAAGATATAAATTGACGAGATTAAACATTCCTCAAACCATCATACAAGAGAAAATTTTGACACACAAGTCTCTATAGTAAATTAATGACCAACTTTTAAAGTGGTCTCCATAGTTTTGAGGGAATGCACGTAAAGAAAAACAAACCAAGGATTTTGATCCAAATTACTTATTATTTATAGAAGCTCTCTGAACCTCTAATTTTCATTTCTTGTCAGTTCGTTTTAGTGTTCTACCTGGCCGATTTTCATGACTTTTCCAGCCATTGACAGGTAATAGTCACTTAACTTGCTTGCTTACATCAGATTTAAGAAATATGACCCAAGTTAAATGATTAAAAAAGTCCAAGTTACAAGTCAAAATTACATGATCAAGTTGTAAATTCTCCCATTTTAACAATATGAATTTTCTTTTTTCGTCACAGTTCATTCTGAAGATCTACCAAGCGGATTTTCAAGATTATGGCAGATATCAATAGGACATAGTCCCTAGATGAGCCTCATTTATTCAGATTACGGGCTAAAAAAGGGCCTTAGAGGGCGCTTTAAAAGGCACCCTCTAGGGGTTGAGCTGCAAAGCGGCCAGGGAACATAGCCCCTCAACTTTGAAAAATAGGAAAATTAGAGCATGAAAGAAAACTTACTGTTGAGAAGAAAAATCTACAAACGCACGTAGCCTGTCTCCACCAAATTTCTCCTGTACCAAGGAGATAACTTTTGCATTACCATACTTTGCGAAAAGATCATTCAACTCAAGCTAGAAAAAAGAGAACAAGTTAAAAAAATTGTCATGCCTTCAAATTCGATCAAATATCTGCAAAACTGCATAGCATGGAATTTTCACCAAGAAAATTCATAAAATATATACTGATGAAGTCCGTTATGAATGTTTTATTGCCACAGGAGTACTTACATTGCCTGATGTGTGATGTAGTGCCTGCCTGTGATGACAGGAGTTGACAGCAGGGCGAAAATGAGATAACCTTTAATCTCAGCAAAAGAGACAGTTGCATGAATGCTTTTTGATTCCGGTAGGTATTTGAAAAATGAGCGAGTGTTTACTTGTCTATAATGCAATAGAATTATAACTTAGGAAATGATTTTCCGAGTTACAGAAAATCTAACTTCATTTGATGCAGAAAAATGTCATGCCAACAGATTTTACAATGTCACATGATATAGCTGCATACATTAAGATCATTGTTGTTCATATTTCAGAACTTGCCTATAATTCCTACTTAGGAAATTTCTGGTGCTTCCACGTAACCTCAAGAGGCATGGTGTTCAAGACTGACAGCGTTCATGGTGAAAATACAAAGAGGTCGATGTAGTAGGAGGCATCATGTGAAATTTGTTCCTGCAATATATGTCAGTTACTAAAAGGATGGATTTTGTAACTCATGCTTTCAGCTTAAACTTGGTTAAATAAACAGTGGAAAGACAGGTGTTGCCTCATTTCTTACATCCTTTTGGAAATGAATTAAAATGAAACGTGCAACAACCCCATTAGATCATTTCAATTAAAATTCTGCAGAAAGCTGAAAATTTTGCCACAATCGTTAAGGATATTGACATTTGTCATTAATGTAAATACTCTGAGTTACATTAAGTTTCAGCTGTATTACAACTTCATGTTTTGCTACATCAAGTGCAAAGAAAAATGAAGATGTTAAAAAATCCATCCGAGTTTAAGTAAAGTGGAGGAAAAATGATTTGTTCTTGTTTGATCAGGATGAATATTATGATTATATGCAATAACAGTGATTGACAACTCATTTTTAATGCATTTTTTTCATTCAATTTTTGTCTTTATTTACTGGTTGAAAGGAGGTTATACGCTTTTCAAAACAGACAGATAATAATACCTTTTTGTTTCTGCCTTATCAAAGTTTAAAGGCACGGCAAATAAGGCACACAATCCGCCGCGACCGACGCTGAAGCAAGCGATGAGTCGAGCAAAGATTCGGTTCTGTCGTGCCCGCAAATAAGCGGCGGATTGACTCCCTCATTCCGTCATATCGACCAGTCAGTTCTCCATGTTAACTCACGGGGGACGTGCTGTGTAAAATGAATAATTTACTTTTTCTAAGCTTCTTGCAAGAGGAAATAGAGCAGGAGGAGTTCGAGCAATTCACATACATGCGCAACTTATTTGGACGACGGCCCTCGAGTGCAGTATTCCAGGCGCGGAGGAGGGAAGGGACATTCTCAAATCTTATATCCTGTCACCTTATTCCTTTGCGGTGTCGGAAAAGTATTCGTTTCCAAATATCCGCCATAAAATCTTTCGATTTTAGGAGGTTATTCGACAACTCTACTTTCCATCTTTTTTTACTGATACACACCTCGAACAGCGCATGCGCGTACTAGCGAGGATCCGCGATCGGCGGACGCCGCATCGCGGGGTCGAGAGAGTTCGGACAGAGTATTTTGGAAATTCGTGACCGAAGGAGGCTGTGGCTTCGCCCCGATTTTTTTTCCCTCTCAAGGGTGATTTGTCCACTTCATCAAAAGGAAAATCTGTGTTTTTCTTTTAATCACCTCTTGCTGCCAGCACCTCTTCCCGAAAAGTCCTTTCCTCCGTCCCTATCAGAAATACCTCAGTCCTACCGCAATTACCTGCGCATTGCGGTATCGCGACAAGACTGAGTGCATTTCTGATACGTAGGGACCATAAAGGCGGGATTTGCTCCCCACAGCGGGTGGACAATGACACCCTCTTCAAGGAATATTTTAGACTGACAAGGTAAGAGTTCGAGGAAGTGCTGAAGCTGGTGGGTCTTTCATTAGGGCTACCAGGGAATAACAGGCACGACTTGTGAAATCGAAACAAAATCTTGACGGACTCGGCGGAATCTCCGACGGATTCCGTCCCGATGTGTCCTGGATAGATCCGGGCGGAATCCACCAGGCGTTTGTTCCACTGCTTATTTGCTGTGCCCATGCAAAAAGCGTAAGACAGATTTTTCCGTCGTCGGTCGCAGCGCATTCCGCCCGGCGGATTGCGCGCCTTATTTACCGTACCTTAAGATCAATTTTGTTCATTTTTTTATACTCAAACGTTTGGTATTGACATATCAATTATTAGGTGAAGCCTGAGAATTCATTGTGACCTATACTTCGGAGAATGCAGGATCAGCCTTACTATCCTACAGTCCATGAATAACAGTTCCACTAATTACAGGAGAACATTGTTGATTCAATTAGGGATATGCGAATAGTGAATTTTTCAAACGAAGCAAATGGCGAAAAATTTAAGTCAATTATCCACAACTACGAATACTATAACAAATAATTTAAGATGACTTTTTTAAGTGCGAAAATTTGCAAATAATACTTGTTGAATCTCAGAAAAATAGAAATAATTAAGAAGAAACGACACTTTTATTGAGGACCAATCACCAAGAATATACCAAGAAAAAAACATAAGAAAAGCATAACCTCTCTAGATCTAAAATTTTATCAACAGCTGTTTTTTAGCAAGTATTAAACTTAACAATACTAAAGTCAACAAATAAGTGTGATTTATTTTTTTAAGAATTTTCCATTTGCTCCTACACCTGCTTAGACACACTGACATGTTATGATAGTAACCTAGGCTGTTAAGAATGTGTTTCAAGATCCCCAGATGCTGGCTTGACTGTTCCTGCAGTCATGTATGCATTTCCAGGATTTAAAGGTAACAGGGCGGGCAGTCAAACAAGTATCTAAGGATCACCAGACACATTTAGTATTTTATTTTTTTCGGTCTTAAGTAATGAAAATGTGTTGATGAACTTTTCCCTCTTTCCGTCTAGGTTAATTAACTTTCAACATGTGGTACTCTTTGAGCAACCAAGATACGAGGGGCCAATTGCAAACATGCACGTAGGCAACTCAGCAAAGTAGGTTAACATAAAGGAAGATCCACCGCTTGCAATGTCTTGGATGGAAGCCTTGCGCAGGTCCTTGCAACGTTTCACAATTGCCACTCAGAAGTTCATTACTTTTGACGGTGCGAATACTGAAAATAGCGGTTAGAAAATTCACTATTTGCAACAGCGCAAATATTCCCAATTTGCGAATGATGCGCGAGTCAGACGAAGCAAATATTCGCACAGCCCTAAATTCTATATTAATTCTTCATAAAAACAACTGCTTTCTAGTGACACTGAGTTGTAAAGCCTCATAAAGTGCTCAGTAGAGATTCATTAAAAGTATATAGAACACGGTTAAGATAGTTCATAAAATAACGTCAGTACCACATTTTGAGACAGGAAAGAAAAAAAGAGAGGAATTACTTACAAAAGTTGTTCCTGCTCCAATGTTGGAGATGACAATCCTCAAGTTGTCCATCGTTAATCAAACAATCAATTGGAACTTTTCAATCATGCAGCGAGATCTTTGGGTCCTGAAACAAAGTATTTTATTATGAACCAAAACAGAGAAGCGGGTAAGTCAGCTATGATCAGACAACATTTTGCAATACGGAACTAAAATTACCGGCTCTGTTGACAAAAAACGCGAGAACCATTAGTTTCCTTGTGCGCATTAGTATTTTATGGATGCACCAGAAATTATAATTCCTAATTGCAAAGTGTCCAATTCAGGGTCAATCAGTTTCTACACAGTGAATTGGATGGATTTGACCCGGGCAGTCTGGCTGCATTTCTAGTTGCTTACTTATCTCTCAGCGCTTTAGAAATTTCTCTGAGTTAAGAGGATTAATTTTTTCGAGATAACGGAGAAAATTCTCATACATGTCAAGTCTCTGTGTTGCTTTGTTTTCAGTTTAAAAAGTAACACATCAGTGAAAATTAGGCAATGTCTCCCATAGATAGGCTTATTCCAGGTGAATCCATCTGATTTCATTATATTTTGCAATTTAGAACTACAATTCCTGACCTAGTTCAACTGTCCAGCCCTAGGTTAAGGTGGGCAGAGTATGCACCAAAGACATAAAGACAGAGCACTGGTATCTAATAGCACGGGCAAGAAATGATGCAGCTTTGGATGCAGCCCTGGCGCTCTGCTTTTGTGTGAGTGTGTAAATAAGCACAGGAATAATCCATGGCGGCACACGGAAATTTGATTTAAACTTGTACCCTTGATTTTTGCACATTTCTTGTTCTAAATTCGTTTTAAGTCACTAAAACAAACAAATAAATAAAGTTGGGACGGTGACTCGGTAGAATACACCTATTTTGGCTCGGTAACAAGCAAGGATCACAGATAAAGTTAGTTTTTCTTCTGCTCATGGTGGTTCTGCCGGTTTGAACAGGCCATTACAGTCCTAGATGACCATTACTCCCAAATGAAATAAATCGGTCGATGACTGACCAAAACAAAGGACCAAAAATAACCTTAAGTTAAAAAAATATATGTGGGTTAGTGAGTTTGAGCAAAAGTCAACCTAGAATACTTTGTTTACACCATTTTCTTCAGTTCCAGACCAATATTTGAATTTCCAACTTATCCTGATTTCGCCACCAATTCTCTAGCCAATTAGAGAGTTAGCATGAATTAGCATAATTGTTTTCTTCTAGCTCTCTGTCTTTACGTCTTGAGGAATGGGAAATCATGGAAAATGCTGGAGTTCCACTAAAATGTATGTATACCCCTTATTTTTTCATGAATTGACTTGAATTTTTCAGGATTTATACTTTATGCTTTGAAGATTAACAATGCCTGAAAAAAATTACTTTAGCTTTGCTCAAAAAGCTTTAAGCTAATTTATCAAAATGAAAATTTATTTGGAGAAACTTGAATACATCCAGGCATAGGCCCTGGAGGACAGTGTGCCGAGCCCGTATGTGTGCGGGCGTACGGCTTAACAGTTAAAGGCAACATAAGTACCGATTAGTTTCCCTATCGGCATGTGTTTTTGAAAATGAGCCAGGAATTGTAGTTGCTAATTGCAAAATATAGCCAAATAGATGTACATACAGAAGACGAAAAAAAATAAGAATACACATTAGGAGCTTCTGTGTTCAAATGGTAGAACTATCAAAAGAAATGGTAATGCTTGATGACATGCATGTTTACAAGTGAATGCAAGACATTTTCACCAAACTCTCAAGGGTCTCAGTGCGTAGATGGGACTGTAGAGTTGCATTTAGTGAACGGAGGTCTCCAACAGCAGCAGATAAGAGCTGCGTTGTCAAGGTAAACTGTTTGGGACTGTTTAGAGACAGAATTAGCCGATTACAAACGGTTGACGTTTATAGAGTTCGTTAGAATTGCCCTGTGACTGGTGTATACATGTGGAAACCCAACATATGTACCAAACGCTCAACAATCTCAGAAGGTCAGTGGGACCATTTAGGTTGGATTAGCAAACAGATCAACAGAACGGAATTGGACAAGTTCACTTCAACAAAGACCTAAGTTTTTGGGATAGACGATTGTCAATTTTGAATGCAATTAATCGAAACTTTTTGATTGCAATTGTTTGAGAAATCGAATCTTGCAAATATTCGAATATTTTCGATAATCACTTAGATTCTTTTGAACTGTGGAACGTGGTACCGTTATTAATACAGATAAATGACATTTTTAACGAAGACGATCAGTCATTCTAGTGTGGAATTGTGGACGAGTTTTGATTGATAACGAGATTGACAATTGGGATGGACGGTTATCGAATTTGAATGTAATTAATCAAATATTCAAAACTTTCCGATTGCGATTGTTGCGATTATTGGAGAAATCAAATCTTGAAATTTCGAATACTTCGGAAGTGAATATTTGGATGTGATGCGATTATCTCCGTTCCAATGATATGAACATTGGATATACAATTATCTAAATATTCGACCATCCATAAGTTTACTTCAGCAGCACACCTCTACGAAAAAACCTAACCTAACCTAACAGAGGACAACATCATTGGATCAGCAACTAGCAGTAACACTACAACCTACAGCTTCAGTAGGTAACACTTAGCAGCATCCAGGGACAAGTATGCAATTTTAGACTTGACACTCACATGGAGGGAGGTGGTGCGTATGCAAAATTAAATTTACGAGGAGTCCCATCCAATGGTCACACGATCAGTCTGATGATTCATTACTGGATTTGGGAAGTAAGAAGAGTGAGTATCGACTAGAGCTACCCTAAAATGTTGAGAAATATCACCAACTGGTTTCCCAAGTACATTAAAAACCCTGTATATAGACTCATTCGAAACTTGTTGGAACAATGGAATATCATTCTAGGCTGAAAGCACAGAAAGCATGCAGAAATGTGAATTGCCGACCGTACAGTCAAAATGGAATCTGGCCCTACTTAATAGAAAATTGTTGAAGATTTACTTGAGGACAGGATGTAGCTTGCTCACCGTTAATTGAATTGAATTACTTCAACGGCTAAGAAAGTAATTATACTCCACCGCTTCGTCTGACCTCAGTTTCAGTGAAGAGATGCACACATGGCGAGGGCGAGGATGAGGAATGAGGAGGATTCTGGAGAAATGGCTACCTTGGAGAAATGGCAGCAATGTGAGCTGTGATGTCAACATTAGCCATCGCCATCTTGCGTCGGTGCGTGCTAAATGGGTGCATTTGATTGGCTTTGTATATTGGCGGGATCTGATACTCTGTTTCGAAATTGAGGGGCGTGGAAGACAAGTTAAACCACTTACCATTTCAATATTTCCTATTCCATGTAACTGAAAAGATAATTTTAAAGGAGAAAAGCAAATGAAAACTGATCGTTTGGAATAATACTGAAAATTTCAGGTTGTCTAGCAGCCAGGAAAACAAGAAAAGTCAGGGAGAGAAAATGCCTATAACTGGCACAGTTCTGAACGGACCTGCAAAATTACAATATTTCCCAAAACTTTACGGCGCTTGACCTGTCAAGCTGATTGCCATCAGCAAAAGATATGAAAAAATGGTGTATTTTTCCTTCAAAAAACACACTCAAATCACCACGACATTATCTGTTCAACGGGCACCCTTTGGTTGAATTCAGTGCCAAAGGTGGATGGACTCTATAGTTTAAAAGCTTTTACCATACTGTTACTTAATTATATTCCATTTTGCCAAAAGGAATCAAGAGCATTCCAGTGTTGCTAGGATTGTGCAACTTACATTCTTTGCAATAAGATTACTAAAATCATTCAAAACATTTTTACAAAGACAACTTTCTTTTTGAAATTGTAGTTCATTAGGAGTAAAGATAAAGCTTTTTCAGAGTTTAGATGATCAGTTCATAATTGCAAGGTAAAAAAACTTGCACAATCTTATTGACAATGGGATGCTCTTGGTTCCTTTTTATAAAATACAATCCAATTTATAGTTGTATTCGATTTGAAATGTCTTCGATTTCTTACCTATTTTAATACCTATTTAATTAGTTTTGTTCAGAATTTTTTGTTCCTTATCGGTAAAGAGGGTTGAGGACCTGAAAAGCCCTTGACAACAAATCCGAGTTTTTTGTTTGTTTATTTATTTATTTGTTTATGTATCTATTTATTTATTTATTTATTATTATTATTTTAAATAGAGAAATGCTAAAATATGTTATAGATTGGTGCAAGGTCAGGCTTTGTGATACGTCAAGTTGTGTAGGCAAGCGAGCGGTATTCGAAAGGATGAGCCTCCTCTCGCCGAGTCCCTTCAATCTGTAAAGATGCAACTATTTTGACGCGTAAGTACAGCTTTCAACCAATCGATGAAATGAAGGTGAGCAAGCTATGCATCGCGTAGAACCAAGTTTTAAGTAAGCATTAGGCAACGAGCCGTCCTGCTTCGTTTGAATGTACAGGATAAGCAAGGATAAACCTTACACGTAATTGTCAAATACTCGATAATGCATACTTTCAAAATTTTTCACGCAAATTTCAAACTGTGATCCGCACGATTTCATGTTTATGCTAGTTTTTACTTTCTCGCTCCCCTAGGATAGAGGAAGTATTGTTATCCTCCAAAAAAAAAGAAGAGAAATTTGAAATTTCATCATTTCTAGACGTTTTAAGGTCCTTGAGTCAAAATAATCATTCTTGAAAAAATGTGTGTCCGTCCGTCCGGCGCCGGCGTCCCCTAAATCTGTGTACAGCCATATCTCAGAATCTATCTGTTCAATTTCATTAAAAATTTGCAGAGAAGACCATATCTATAATTTCCTTATGCACGTCAAACGATTTTGAGGTACGTTAAAATTTGGGGGGGGGGGCTGGGCTAGGGGCCAAAGTTGATTCTTGGTAAAATCACACGGAAAGCTCATTTTGAAGGACTGTAAATTGTGTAAAATGTCTTTAATTCTTTAAAAGTGGACATCAAACACACCACCTGGGTCATTAATTTAAGTTCCTAAAAGATACCTATGACTGTACCAGACAAACTGTTTGGTCATGAGATCATGATTTTTGATATAAACATTATATCTCGTATGCTATTTGTCCAGTTATTTTTGAATATAAAAAAGCCGAAAGTGTGAATAAAGCGGGGCGTACTTTTAAAAATTTTCCGAGGGAGGACCTCAAAAATCTTCTTATGGACTGGCCCACCCCCTGGAAATGTGGAGCCAGTCCGCTGCATCGTGAACTGTTCCTTCTACAAATGAGAGTGATTAAAAGCCACTCCTCCTTTCTTTCTCTTATTTGTTTTCTTTTTTTTCTTCTTTTTTGTGCTCTGTTTAACTGCATACCCACAAATGAAGTCTTTTCCTACGATATAATTTCACGACTAAAGCCTCCAGTGAATGAAAGAGGCAAGTGACATTATTGAAAAAATTGAAGTAGCCGTGGTTTTTGAAAACATTTCATTTCGAAATAAATTGAATGCAAAACCTGAGCTTCAAAACATAAATATTCAGACCAGTTTTATACCGTAATTTTAAACAAGCTTAAAGCTTTCATATTGTATATTAGTGTCAAATATACAGTAAAATTATACGATCGTTTTCATTAAGGTTTTTTCCAACTAAAATGTTCAATTATTTTAACGTCGCTCGGATATCTCTTTTTTCCCAACTAAAAACCGTCCGGATTAAATTTCTCCATTTTCCTATTTTAAAGATAGAACATTGCCGTACAGATTGTGCAAAACTCCATTGTAATAAAATGTCGGAGAACGCTGACACCGCGAGTTTGAATAATTAGGCTGAACACAGTACAGTTAACGCGAAACGGATATTGGCGCCTACAAGATCGCAGGAATACTTCACGCATTGCACTAAACAGCGCGGTCGCAACAAGACCGCATGAATATTTTACGCATTACGCGTAGGTACTTTACAGTGCACGCTTTAGTCATAATAAATTGTTGAAAATCGTAATTTCTCGGTGCTGGATCCACCCCAGTCCACGCCATTCAGTGAATCCGCAATCTGCGGATGGAATAAAAATGTATGAAGACATTAGACTACAAACATTTTTGCATGAGTCCACACCACTTCTTATTGACCACGAAAATCGAACTTAAGAAGATAAATATTTGTCAAAATCTGTGGCAAATAGTCATCTAATACGCTATAATTTTCAAAATTTCTCCGGGCGACGACGCCCGCACCCCTGCCATCATAGGAGGTATTTCTTGCCCCCCAGACTCCTGCATGGTGTGAGGGGCACCGAATTTTAGGTTTGTTTCCCACTATTGGCACCTAGATTGGCACCTTCTTTTGACATTACACTGGACTTATTCGCTCTTTTCCTTTCTTTAGTTTCTTTCAAAATATTTTGTTATCAATATCTATTATTTGTTCAACATAATGTTTAAAGTTATTCAATCTTCATTTGCTATCAAGCATTCCTTTTAAAAGTTAGTTTTGTCCAATTTTGTTTCCTTTAATTTTGTGGCTCTCTCATCTCCTTTTCAAAGCGTTTACTTTCGAAGAAAACGAACTCCGAGGTGTCGACCACCCCCTATTCAGGGCACAAAAGGGATTCTTGTGCTTTACGATCAAACAGGTACTTTCGAAAGAAACCAAATCGAGATATGAACTATGTGACGTAGACATCGGGTCAGTCATGCTTTCTCTAACCAGCTATCCAAGTTACCAATTAAGAATTTAAACCGAATATTTTGTCTTTGGTTTTTCCAAATCTTATTCCATTTGCCATTCCATTATCTAACATCTTCATCAATTTCACTTTGTTGTTCTCAATTGGCTTTGCTTATTTTTTTTTTTTTTTTTTCGATGAGAATAGTTCAATAGGTGGCATGCCAGATTACCCATAACTGCAAAGTTGGAGATCGACAGCCGCTGCACATAGGTATTTGTTGTGGGCTAAAAGAGTGTTGATGTAATTCGGTTTCTTGTCTTCTTGAACGTCATCGCAGTTGGCCACACTGTGACATCGTAAAATAAAATCGCCTTATTCGCTTTAATCAGTGGTTTATTTTTAAGGGACCTATCCTGGTTCTTAAAGGTTTAGCATGAGATTTCTATAGTCATCTGTAGTTCTTTCGATTATGTTACAAGCTTTTGTGAAATGAGTCTTCATTTTCTTCTTTTCTTTTTGAAGAAAAAAATCCCCCCTCGCAGCCCCACAACTAAGCAGAGTAGCATAGTAAAAAAATAACCGACAAGAAGAAAAACAGCAAGAAACGGCAACACCGGTCTTAGCGAATGGCGCGTCCTGGAAACCTGTGAACTATAATCGCTGCGCGGCATGCGAAGAGGGGGGGGGGGCTGGTGATCAATAGTACGTATCCCTCTAACAAGGGCTGAAGCGAAGCGCCTGCGTTTTTGGTCGATCCCCCCTTCCCCCTCCTTCCCACTGCTCCACTCACTGCTCCCTCAAGGGGGACAGCGGAACCCCAAATACACGACGAGTGAACCGAATTTCTTTGAGAAGCCGGAGAAATTTAAGAATTTGCCGGATAATTTTTTCGGCCCACGCGCATAGATGGCTTCGAGAATTTTTCGCCTTTAGGTACGCAACTAGGATTTCGGACATGTAAATTCAGAATTCTCCGGAAGGATACGGAGTACTTCTTTGTAGACGCATCCTGGAAAGAGGGTAACAGTAATGTTGGTGCAAAGTTAGCCTAGAGGAGAACTAAACTAAATTTTTCTACAAGAAACCACTATTTCTAGCTCGTTTCGGAGATAACATAGGTACGCCATTCTCATGCCCTAAGCAGATGCGTTTATGGTCGAGCTAGAGACAGGGGCTAATTATTACAAAATTTACTCAGTCCAACTCCGGCGCAATGATGCAAACTCTGGACAGCGCCTAGCAAGCTGGGTCGAATAGTAGAAATTTTAATTTTCGATGAAAGTCACCTTCTTTCTTCATGAGTATAAATAACGTAAGTAAAGTTAGTTAAGTAAGTTAGCAGCGATTCAGTACACTTTTGTACCAAAAGGTAGCAAAAATTCACATTATGAAGAGACCGTTTTTGCGGATCGAGCATGCAGAATATTTAAACCATCCTTGGATAGATCCTTTATCTCAAACCAACTTTTTGTTCTTCATTGAACCTATTTTTTAGGCGATCCGTGCACACGCAGTTTTTTGGTCCTCAGATCTTTTTGTGCTTGGACGATCACAATTGAGCATTGCTGTATCACGTGAACAAATTTATTCGAAGTCGAAAAAAGGCAAATTGTTGCTGAGGAGCGGCATCAAACGGCAAGGGACGTAGCCGCTTAAAATAATGAATATAATGGACAAAATTTTGCAATTAGGAACTACTATTTCTGGCTCTTGTTGAAACGACATGTGTGCCATTAGTTTCTGTCTGAATTGTTATGAATGAGCCGGATATCGTAGCCGTTTTTTATTGCAAAATGTATCCTTTCCATGTTAAGATATGGAAAACAGACCCATAACACGGAGTCTCCTGGATATGCATGGTGGTTACTCAACCTTGGCGAAAAGGAACTCTCTGACGCGTTCTCTAAAACTGCCTTCAAAATGTAAGCATGCAAGCCCGCACCATTCCTGTTTTAAAAAAAAATTGCTCGGCTCATTACGGATCAGAAAAAAGTAATCAAAATGTAAGCATGCAAGCCCGCACCATTCCTGTTTTAAAAAAAAATTGCTCGGCTCATTACGGATCAGAAAAAGCTCCCACTTTAATGTGAATTTCAGGAGGGAGCGACGGACTGCTTTGTCGAGAAAAGGCATGGCGAAGATCCTTTGAAATGAAGCCAAATATAGTGCCAAAATAGGGATTGAAAGATGACCAGTTTCGTACATTTCTGATTTTTTTTTACCTGATGTGAGACTGATTTAGGAGCCCCGTAAGGCGCGGTTTGAGGGACACCCTAAAGCTAAAGAAAAACCTGGGGGAGGAATGAGGATCCACGAAACATTTCGAAAATTTAGAGTCTCTCGTGTGGCATTTTAGGTACATATGTATTGTACTTCTCGCACTTTTGTTTACTAGAAATGAAGTAGAAAATTAAAGAAAAAAAATACTCATAACTCTCTCATTTTCTTCAGTCTGCAGTTCTTTCTATATTCCAACATTTTAGAGGCCGCACTTGATTGACTTCGACATAAATGTGACTTGTGAATGTTCTAAAACAATATCGACGGTTCGACTCTAAAACCGCGTATCTCGGTTTGCAAAATTGCAGACCTCGTACCGTACTTTATTTTTTAAATGAAAAACTGTTCAGCGTCACTTATAAAAAAAAATATGTGATTTTTTCATCTCAGCGTGAGGAAAATTCTGCGAAATCTTCAAGGAATGATGTCGATTCGGTCGATTCGTTACCTTTTCAAAAAATAAAATATGAGCTGATACTTTTAAATTTTTAAAAACGAGACACGTAGTCTGGTAGTTTCACCGTCGATATTTGTTTTACTTGCTATTAACGATTGGACATAATAGCCCTGGTAAAAATTAGCAGTAGAATCTGTGTTCCAAAATACCATAGACCTACAGCCGGCTGTAAGATTTCCAATAGCCTCTATAGGCGGCAACACGATTTCTTATAGCCTTTTATAGCCGATGGCAATTAAACGACAGCCTGGCGATAAAGTGTATGCTGAACGTTACTAATTACGGATGCTAGGACTTAGTGAGTTTTTGGACTACCGCTCTCTTTTTGGGCCGCAGTATCTTGATTTAATTTGCGAGGAAAGCCTCGTTCTTTTGGAGGATGCCTGACATTCCTAATATGTTGGAGCGCCTTCAATTTCGTGTGATACTGTGCAATACCTCTGGTGTGGAATAGTTGCTTCAAGCGTCGCGGTACGCTGCGGCGCGGCGCGGCGCGGCGGGCGGGCAGCCAGCGCTGAACGCGCATTGGCGCCTGCAAACCTAACAGGGATACTTCACGCATTGCGCAACGCGTGAAGTATCCCTGTTGGGTTTGAAGGCGCCAGTGCGCCGCCGCTCCGCTTTGTGTTAGGCTCTATTATTTAATCTCGTGGAGTCAGCGTTGTTCAACTCATGACTTTGAAATGTTTGCACACTCTGTATGGATTATTCTCACTTTAATTGATGAAAACAAATATGTAGTAAAGGAAAATATAATGTGCGTTTAGTAAATATTATGGTGATTTCGTACAAACTTAAGGATTTACAAAGCACACGAATTTCTACACAATTTCTTATAGCCTTTTATAGCCGATGGCGAAAAAGCAACAGCCAGGCGATAAAGTGTAAAGCCCGGCGACAGGAACCATAGCCCGGCTGTTTCATTTTTTATCGCTTCGTGTAGCCCGGCCGTATGCTTTTTTCCACTTTCTACAGCCAGCTATATGATTTTCTATCGCCTTCTTCAGTCGGCTATAAGAACTCCTATGGTATTTTGAAAAGCAGCTCCTATCGCCAATTTTTACCAGGGATTGCGAGTCAAAAGTTAACCACTCAAGTTTTCAGATACGTGATCTGAAAACTTCAGAGATCCATATGACCTCAACTTCGGGTCCCACGCACGAAATTTTTTTCTCAGGGGCAAGGAATCTTCACAGGGTTTTAGTATAGTTTTGCCTGTGTAAAATTTCAAGAAAAAACCGAAGAGTTCATAAAGAATCGCAAAAAATTACTTCTGAAGGAAGGAAAATAAGCTAATCAAAATCCGACCAATCAAAAGCCGACAGTCTAGTTGACGCACGGAGAAAAAAAATTCGTGCGGGGGACCCGAAGTTGAGGTCATAATATGGATCTCTGAAGTTTTCGGATCACGCACCTAAAAGCTTGAGGTCTAGTTGCCGAAGTTCGGGTCAGACATCTGAAGTACTTCGATACATACCGAAGGGTTCGGATCACACATCTGAAGTACTCAAGTACATACCGAAGTGCCACGATGTTTGACCCGAACTTCGGCAGTGCGACCTCAAGTTTTCGAATGCGTGATCAGGAAACTTCAGAAATCCATACGACCTCAACTTCGGGTCCCAAGCACGAAGTTTTTTTCTCCACGCGTATAGCAAGGCGGAGCCTAAAGCTGAGCTGAGCCAGTCGGCAAACGCTGTTTCCCCCATCTGGCTGCCACCATGGGTGCCACTGACCCATTGGCTAACAACATCGTTCATAGGTTTCATAAAAGGTTTCATAGAGCGAAAAAAAGGACGCTTCGCACCAATTAATTATACCCTCACTTCGGACTCGAATTGCCCTTCCCCTCTATTGTCAGGCAAGTGTCTGGTCCTTCCAGAAGCTCCTCTTCCCTTCGGATACCTGACTTCAGTCATATGTAGCTCCTAGTGCGAGGGGGGGGGGGGTTCCAATTCCACTAAATCATACCTGCTAAAAACTATAATTTCCATACCATGTCGAGAGTATGTCGTTACCAGCATGGTGTATACCAGCTTGGTCTCAACATTAACGCATGTTATTACCATGTTGGTACCATAATGATCACTGTTGGTAACTTTGACTTAGTTTGTACCACCATGAATCCCCCACGGAGACCGCACAAGAATACTTCAAATAAGCCGAGTAATTATTTTACTCACTTGCCCCATGTTGATACGATATTGATTTCATGTTGGCGTTTGCACAAACAATGTCGTCTTTTTCCGGCCAAAGTATCACAAGCGCCATGCCACGTTTCAAAATTTCCGCCGACATTTTATTTTTTTGACAGAGAGATTATTGGTTGAATCTGTTTGAAAATTTCGCACTGAATTTTATCGGCAGCACAAACAAAATTCAGTGAAATTTTTGGACAGCCTTGTTGAACCATTTCTCTATAATAAAATAAAATGGCGGCGGAAATTTTTAAACGTCGCATGGCGCTTGTGATACTTTGGCCGGAATGTGACGATGTTTCGCCTGAATGATGGTTTTCAGCAGGGATGAGACCTTTCATCCGCGTGCCAAACCTTGCAACGCGCGATCGGTCCGGAGCACACGGGAACGAGACCCACTGCGCGACGAGGAGGCCCCGGGGGGGGGAGGGTCGGCGAATGCGCGCGACACTTTCCCGGCTCGGCGCGGTGCGGTGCGGCGCGGCGGCGACGGGTCGCGATGCTCCGTTGCGTCAGTTGCAGTCGGACTTCGGGAGACTCGAGCGCGTTTTCTCAGAGCCAGTGCTAATGTCACGCTTCCGGGAGCGGGGGCCAGGGAAGTGACGTTTGATCCTTGGTTGAGGATGGCCGGAGCCGCGCGAGGGCCGCGGTAGCCCGGACGAGGTTCCCGCCCTTTGTTTAAATGAAAGGCATGTCTTTGACGAGCGTCTCGGGTCGGTCCGAGTGCTGCTCCGTCATCTGCGGGGCGTCCACGACGCCGATCGTCTCGACGACGACGGCACTGCCGTTCGACGACGATTGTCTCAAGGAGCGACGATGGTGGTGCTTCCTCCTCTCGAGCATCTTCACCTTCATCGCGGGCCTCCTCATCGTCCTGCTATGGCGCGTCTTCGCTTTCCTCTGCTGCAAGAAGGAGCCGGAGCTCTCGCCCAACGACCCCAAGCAGAAGGAGCAGAAGGCCGCCCGCCAGAGCGGCAAGCAGGAGTTCGAGGGCACTTTCATGACCGAGGCCAAGGACTGGGCCGGCGAGCTCATCTCGGGTCAAACCACCACCGGCAGGATCCTGGTAAGACCCCAACCCGTTCTTTCTCACACCCGCATTCTTAACACCGCGAGCAGTCTGGAAAACAGATCCGTGGATAAACGCGTACACCCGCAAGCGGTGTTGCGAATCTGCCCTGCTCGGGGAAGACGGCCGAAGGGCTGGGTCCTAAAATAGCATCACCCAATTTGAGGAGAAGTATCAGCCTTAGCTTCATAGGGCTGTACACCAATTCGGGAGAAGAAAATTCGATTTCACACCTAAAGAGTGATGCTATTTGATCTAACTTTTCAGACATAAAGATTCGTTGGATTTTTCGTGTGCTTGATTTTTTTCAAATAGAACTAACCAATAGCTTTTCTTAGAGTTTCCCGGGAATTTTCTTCACTTCTTCAAATAACTTGACAGCATAGACGGATCCATACGCTTTGAACGGGAGCGGGGGAGGGGATGCCCGGCGGGCTTCCTCCCCCCCTTTGGAAAATTTTCGAAATGTTGAAGCATCCAATATGCAATTTAAGTCAATTTCGTCATGAATAATTACCAAAAATAAGCGCCCTTCTCTCTTACTTCCTCCGCTCCTTCCGTTTTTCTTCTTTCGGGCGAACGTGGGAGAGGGACTAACGCTCTCTACGCCCCCCCCCCTTTGGATCTGCTTAAGTGCCTATGCTTGGCAGAGAATTTCAGATAGAAATTTTGGTCAGTTTCTTTTAGAAACGACAGAGCATGATCGAAGACTTTAAAACATTACAATGGAGATTCGCAATGAGGGGAGGGAGAGGAGATGTAAGAAGATGGAATAAAGAGGTGAAGGAGCGTCCCAGGAATTACAATTTCAGGCTTAAGATGGTTCGAATGGATCAGTAGATCAGTGATTCAAAGAGTATCTCCTCATATTCGAACAGTCTCGAAGATTAGATGTGCGTCTTGTTGGAAGTGACGGAGGTGAATTCGTCCAGTTTTACTTGAATGGTTTTAGAAGTCTAACAGCAAGGCTGCCATGCCGTTCATGAGCCTTCAGGCGTTGTCAAATTTCTCCTGGCAAATCACTAATTTTCAGGAAAATTTTTTTAATGTATGTCTACCAATTTCTCAGATAATTTTGTTTGTAATTTGTTCTAAAACTTCTGAAAATGTCAAGGAAAAATATTAATAATCTTCCTCAAAAATATAAATTTTATCGAAGGGAATTTGGCAACTCTCGAATGTTCATACGGCGTTCTTCCTCAGCACGGCAGAGGGCGTATTTCAAGTTTCAATGTTGGACGTTGTTTGTAAGGAATTTACGGGGTGGAAAAATCAGTGGAAGTCGCGAGGTTTTTAAAATAAGCTAAAAAGGCTTGTTGCTTGGTGATTAGTGATGTCCGTTTACAAATGCGCCTTCATTTTGCCGAGTAGGCCTCAAAAAACCACGCATGCCCAGAATAATTACTCGCTCTCATAATTTGCATTACACCGCACATGTCTGTGCGAAGTCTGTCAATCTAAACTAGAAAATATTTATGAATGATTGTTCGTAGTATAAAATCTGCTGGATTTTTTTAAGTGTTTATAGTGACAAACACTTTATTTTACTCAACTTTCGTTTTTTGATTGTGGAACGCATCATAGTGCCCAGCACTCTCTAACGTCCCAAAAATACCACCGCACCTTGCCGTGAAGAACTGCGTGAAATGTCTATGACACATTCCGAAGTTTTTGACATAGGCAGTGGACATTTCGACGGTGAAAATGCAAAAATGCGTATCTCGGTTGCGGTGTTTCGAAATCTTAGCTCCTATATTATTTTTTAAAAGGAGTCTGAGCCAACATCATGACCAGAAACTTTCACATATTCTCTATAAAAATAAGAAAAATCCCTGTAATTTTCACCAAATTACGTTCAGTAGTTTGCCACGTAGAAAATAGGGTATGACAGGAATGCCGCAAACCGAGATACGCATTTCTTTAGTTTCACCATCGATTTGTGAATTTAACCCGTGCACCTATATTTCTCTACAGCTACTTAAACGAATTCTTTCATGAATATCATGCATTTTGTGATGTTGTATACCTATATCATAAGTCAACATGTACTTAGTAGAATTTTTTGATGGTAAAAATGCAGAAAAAACCTCTCATAATTGTCTAGTAGAATCTTATAAATAGAGAAAATTTGTGTTCATAAGCAATCTAAAGTCGCTTTTTTTGTTTCTTGCAAACTATCACATTTTCTAATTATTGTTTCTTGAGATGCGAAAGGGCAGAAGGACGTTAGGAAGCGTATGTTGTCGATCTGGTTCCTCTTTTAGGCGAATTATCTCTCAAATAAGTCTTCGATGATCTCTTATATCTTGCTTTCTAGATTTCCTTTATTTTCGTGAAAAGAATCTGGAAGACTTCATATCGTCAGCTGCATTTTTCCACTTTTTAATGATGTGTTAAGTTTAAAAATTGGTCTGAGAATTCGCGCCAAAAAGTACCTCTAGTGAGACTATTTGTCGAATCTCAAGGTGGATATTTCCGCTTGCACTTGAATTCAAGTACCCACTTGTTAAATATTTTTTACTCGTATATTATACAACGTGTCTCTTAAAGTGACCACATGAAATGACGTTTATCAACTTTATACCTGGTACTATTCGTATGAAAAGAGCGCGGCACCAGAAAAGTATCAGTTCTGCTTATTGTGCGTTGAAAGCTACGGGAGAAAACTCGAGGGAGAGTAAGCCGATCAAATTACATGAAATACGAAAATCACTGATAGCAGATCCACGCTAAGTATATCAATCAATGGTCGAAAAGCGAATCCAAGTATCTCCACATGGAGATACTTATGGAGAAACGTCACAATATCGTGATGTTTCAAACGTTTCGCTCTTATTTTACCCTGGTAAAAATTGGCGATAGGAGCTGCGTTTCAAAATACCAAAGGCGTTCTTATAGCCGACTGAAGAAAGCGATAGAAAATCATATAGCTGGCTGTAGAAAGTGGAAAAAATCATACGGCCGGGCTGCACGAAGCGATAAAAAATTATACAGCCGGGCTATAGTTCCTATCGCCGGGCTGTACACTTCATCGCCTGGCTGTTGCATTTTGGCCTTCGGCTATAAAAGGCTATAAGAAATTGTGTAGATATTCGTGTGCTTTGTAAATCCTAAAGTTTGCACGGAATCACCTTAATATTTACAAAACCCACATATTATATTTTCCTTTGCTACATATTTTTTTTCATCAATTAAAATGAGAATAATCCATACAGAGTGTGCAAACATTTCAAAGTCATGAGTTGAAAAACGCTGACTCCACGAGATTAAATATTAGAGCCTAACACAAAGCGGAGCGGCGGCGCACTGGCCCCTACAAACCTAACAGGGATACTTCACGCACTGCGCAATGCGTGAAGTATCCCTATTAGGTTTGTAGGCGTCAGTGCGCGTCTCGCGCTGGCTGCCCGCCCACCGCACCGCGCCGCGCCGCAGCGTACCACGGCGCTTGAAGCAACTATTTCACACCAGAGGTATTGCTCAGTATCATACGGAATTGAAGGCGCTCCACTATATTAGGAATGGCAGGCATCCTTCAAAAGTTCGGAGCTTTCCTCGCAAAACAAATCAAGATACTACGGCCCAAAAAGAGAGCGGTGGTCCAAAAACTCACTAACTCCTAGCATCCGTAATTAGTAACGTTTAGCATACACTTTATCATCAGGCTGTTGCTGAATCGCCATCGGCTATAAAAGGCTATGAGAAATTGTGTTGCCGGCTATAGAAGCTATTGGAAATCTTACAGCCGGCTGTAGGTCTATGGTATTTTGGAACACAGATTCTACTGTCAATTTTTACCAGGGTAATTCTTTGAGGAGGAACAAGTCAACTTCATAGATAGCTTGAAAATACAGAATATTCTGCAAACCGAGAAGAAAAAGAAAGTCTTCAAAAGGTTAGAGAGACTAGTTTTCCAAGGAAAAAATGAAGCATGACATGAAGTCTGCAACGTAATGACCAGAGATACGTCGTTTTTCGCCTAAACCATCGAAATGACTGAAGTCGGAAATTGCCTATCCCCACTGCAACTTCTTAAATCTCCATTTTGTTTTTCTTTTTTTTCTTTATAAAAAAAGAACCAAAATGTCTCTGTGGAATTATCTGTTTGAAAATAATGAAGCATGAGTGAAAAGAAAATTGAAAACTTTTAGTACCTATGGTTTTTTCCCCCTATAGTAATGGAGCCTGTTTCGACCCCAGCTATCGATATACTAAGCTATGTTGCGACTGATAATCTCCTTTAAATCATAAGGGAGAAAAAACGTGATGTCGAAAAAACGCGACTTGGATTCGAATTTTCCAACCGCGGAAAACTTGAAAAGAAGCAAAATGTGAACGCGTGATTATATCAGGTTCCTTGTGGGTGTAGATGTGGGTTGACGTCTCGCAAGTGTAGCAGCGCTTCGATAATAGCGCGCGTAGGTAGGTAGCTTTCAGGAGATTTCCCACGTGGAAGTAGGCGGACGTAGAGGTGGGTCTCGGAGAGAACCCGAACCCGGAAAATCTAAGGTAGATACATTCATCTCGCAGCTTTCATTGAGAGGAACTTTCAAAACAATGAGAACGACTCGACAGTCGATCGACTGATCGGTTCCTTCAGAGAGAACTCAGTACCTATTTTAGGGATGAATCTGACTTTTCAGTCGTTTGGATTATTCAATAGTCACGCACCACTGGCCATGAGGGGGGTGGCCGTTTGAAAATTTTGAGTTGCCCCCCGCCCCCCTCTCCCCGAGAGGATAAAAAACTGGAGGGTACCTAAACAATTTTCCCCCTCGATATAAGGAAAAACGTCTTAAACCACAAGTCGATATCATAATTAGAACTAAACTTATGGCCAGTGGTGCGTGACTTTTGAATAACCCTGTATACTTAACGTACTACAGCGTAATGTCGTTCTCGGAAATTCTCAAGAAATGTCCTAACATCAAAATTTTCAATCGATTGAAAATTTTTGGATTTCAGCACAGAGAAAAAAAAGGAGGTGTTTGCCTTTC